GCCAGAAGAGGGTGTCGGATCCCCTGGAACTGGAGTTACAAACAGTTGTTAGCCACCACGTGGGTGTTGGGAATTGAACCTGGGTCCAGTGGAAGAACAGCAGTGTTCTTAACTGCTGAGCCATTTCTCCAGCCTCTGAAATACAATACTCTTATTAAAAAATACTTTGTTATTTTTTAATTTGTGTATGTGAGTATATTGCCTGCATGTATGTAAGCTTACCTGTGTTATGCAGTGCCTTCAGAGTCAGAAGAGGGCGGCAGATCCCGTAGATGGAACTAGAGCTACAGACAGTTGTTAGCTGCCCATGTGGGTGCTAGGAACCAAACTTGGGTCCTTTATAAGAAAAGCCAGTGTTCTTAACAGCTGAGCCATCTCTCCAGTCCCCAGAAATATTATATTCTTATAAAAATATAATCATACTTATGATGTGATAATTTGATATGTATGTACAATATATAATGATTAAATCAAAATAGCATTTCCGTCTCAAACTTTAACTCCCAATAATTGTACATACTTATGAAGTACAATGTATATCAGTACTTACTTGGGTCACTTATTTTGTATTCATAATTAAATTTTCATATTACATACATCAGTCCATCCTTGAAAACCTAGTAACTTGAAAGTTTTGTTTGAATTTCACTTTTTTATCTTTTGAGACAGGGTCTCCCTGTAGCCCCAGCTGTCCTGGAACTCACTATGTAGACCAGGCTGGCCTTGAACTCACAGAGATCTGCCTGCCTCTGCCTCCCAAGTGCTGGGATTACAGGCATGCGCCACCACACCCGGTGCTGAACTTCCCTTTTTTTACACATAGTTGTTTTAATTCTTATGAAATTTTAGTGTATAAAGTGAACCATCACATAACTATTACAAAAGGGAATCCTATTTAGCCAATAAATATAAAGTTTTAAAAATCAGCTAAAGACTCTAGCTGGGCATGGTGGCACACACCGCTAATCCCAGCTCTCAGAAGGCAGAGGCAAGTGGATCTCTGTGAGTTCAGGGCCATCCTGGGCTACATAGTTCCAGGCCAGGTGGAGCTACAGGAAGACCCTGTCTCAAAAAGACCAAAAAATAAAATAAAAATTTAAAAAAATCAGAAAAAGACTAGGTAAATGAAGGAATATAAATGTTAATTAATGTTAATAACACAAATATTTTGTATGTTTCAGGGATTTGGGAACCAGGAGGATTCAGATAATGTTGCTGAGGTCTTTGCTTATGGTAAGGAGTTTAATAGAGGTGAAGGGAACATTCCCCTTAAATTATTGAGATTAAAGGAATTAGCTTCACAGTGTCAACTTTCTTTCCTTGTGTAGGAAGAAGATGGCTGGTTATTTCTCTGGCTTGTTCACTTTAATATCATTCCCCTCATTTGTTACTGTCCTTAGTACTATTCAGTGGTCTCTTGTCATTTGATCTTTACTATGGTCAGACATACAGAAGGCAGAAAGAGATACCTGGGTCAAGGGTATTAGGTGGACAGAGTTGAAGAGGCTCAGGGTCATTGAGCTAATGAATAGAATTCAGGGGCTGGAGAGATGGCTCAGTGGTTAAGAGCACTGACTGCTCATGCAGAGGACCTGGGTTCAGTTCTCTGCACCCACATGACAGCTAACAGCTGCCCATAACTCCAGTTCCAGGGTCTTGAATGCTCTCTTCTGGTCTCTGCAGGCACCTCACACACATGGTATACAAACATACATGCAGGCAAAACAGTCATAAAATAAACCACAAATAAATAAATAATTTTTAAAGAATAAAATTTGGATATGAAAATCCAAATTACCTTCTACGTACTTCCAAATAATGCCTTCATAATGTACAACCTTCTTGCTGAGAGTATTTCTTAAAATGAAATTTGTACGTTTAAATTTATAATGACTGTAGATAGCAGAATAGGAAAAGCACACCACCCAAAATGAGAGCTCCTCTGCTTATTTTATGACAAACACACTCACCTCCTAGCATCCTGCCAAGGGCAGGAATCAGTATCTTTAGTGTTATTATGCGTGATGCCATGTTTCCTACGTGGAGTACAGAAATACCTTCTGTGATCCCATTTTCTTTTTTCAATTTTTATTTATGTGTGTGATTGTTATGCCCGCATGTAAGTGCATCTGTGTCATGCAATGCCCACAGAGGCCAGAAGAGGGCATTGCATCCCCTGAAACTGGAGTTACAGATGGTTGTTAGCTGCCCTGTGGGTGCTGAGATCCTAAGGCATGTCCTCTGTGAGAGCAGCCAGTATTCTTAACTGCTGAGCCATCTCTCCAGCCCTGTGATCCCATTTTTAATTCTCATCTTGTGCTTGTCATACAGAACTTTTATTCTACTGCGTCCAGATTTGTCCTCTCCTGTATATCTTTTTTATTTGTGTTTATCTGACAAACATCTCTTTACTCTGATGATATAAACACAGTTGTTTGAATTTTCTTTAAAATTTTTCTAAGATTTGGCTTTCCGCATTGAGAAATTTGGTATGAAGCCTACTTTTATATTTGGTATCAGTCATAGGTATATTTTCAGTGTTCCTAGGTGGGAACACAGCTGTTCTACCAGTTTCACTGTGGACTTGCAAAGTCATCTCCATCCCATAAGTGCCCAAATATAAGTACTACATACTACATATGGGTATAGTCTTGAAAATGAGTTGAGATTACCCATCCGAAGTTTCATTTTGCCCTAATTTTGTATTTATATTAAATAAATCCTATAAATATTAATAATATATGTCTCATCCTAATTCTAACAGTCAGCTGTGTGACTTCTTAGGTAGAATGATTTTAAAATGTTTAGTAGCATGTAAGTACATTCTCCTTAAAAGTTTTAAACTTGAAAGAAGTTTAAATGTCATCATGAATGTCAAATAACAAAGTATAACTTTCCAAAATGACTAGATATTCCTAATACCCAATAGCTTCCATTAAAAGGATAATCTGCAGATTTAAATTTAAAAGTTTGCATACAAACTTTACTGTTTGCTATGTGATCTCCCTGTATCCTTTCATACCACTTAGACGATTCTTAAGCTAGTTCTACTTCCATTTCTTTCTATAAAAGGGGGTGTATTAGTGCCTGTCTCATAGGTATGTGGTGAGGACAGATAGTGTGCTTACAGTTGTGCTAGCCCATGGGACCGCATACTAAATGTGTGCTGTCATTCACTTTGTTCTTGTTATGAGTGTTCTTAGAAAGTCAATACAGTTTTTGTTCACCTCACACATTTTCTATCTTCTGGCTTGTGCCCATAGTTTCTGTTTCCCTAAATTTATGGTTCTAAGAAGCAGTGTGAGAATTTTGCTTAAGAAGGACTCATGGCAGCATTTTTGTGTTGTGAATTTTCATCCCTGTAATCAGGTAACTTCTGGATACAAAGCCAAGACAATTGTTACTGCACTGCCAGGATCCTTTCTGGACCCCTTGTTATCACCATCTCTCATGGAAGACTATGAGCTGAGGCAGTTAGTATTGGAAGTGATGCATAACCTCATTGATCGCCATGACAATAGGGCCAAGCTCCGCGGGATCAGGTAGTACATCCTGTTGGAACAGGATTAATGAGTGTTTTCTAACTCTGTGTTTGAAGTATGTGACTTTTTTCAAATTTAAACTTTTCAGTTTTTATGTAATTGCTAGGAAAATGATTTATTACTGTCCTAGTTTGTTTCTTCATTGCTGTCACAGAATACTCTGACCATTACCAACATGGGGAGGAAAGGGCTTATTTGGTTTACATCTCCCGGGTCACTGTTCATCAAGGAGCCCAAGGAACCTGGAGCTGGAGCACAGGCCATGGAGGAATGCTGTTTACTGGCTTGCTCCCGGCCCCTGCTCAGCCTGCTTTCTTATGCAACATGGGCCCACCTGCCCAGGGGTGACACCACCCACAGTGGGCTGGGCCCTCCCACATCACTCAACAATCAAGAAGGTGCCCCATGGACATGGCCACAGGCCAGTCCAATGAAGGCAGTTTCCCAAATCAGGCTCCCTCAATCCAGGTGTGTCAAGTTGACAGCAAAGCTATCCAGCATAATTACTGTTGTAAAATAACAAACAATATTATTTAATGTGCTCTTTAGTGATCTAATCTAGTAATCACTAGTTACACAGATGTGATTTGGGTTTTATTTTAGTTTTATTTTAAGCTTAAGCATGACAGTAGGAGTAAAGATTGTGTAATTCTTATTTAAGTGGGGGTAATTTAGCAGTGCTACTCCATATAAACATTTTAAATGTTCATAGAAGTATTACATAGTTCAAACTCCTAAATTCAGATGTAATCTTCCAAAAAATACAAAGTATTGTAGCCAAATGTCCTATTCATTATAAATGATACATTGTTTCTAGAATAATACCAGATGTGGCTGACCTGAAGATAAAAAGAGAAAAAATTTGTAGACAAGATACCAGTTTTATGAAAAAGGTAAGATCATCTTCTACAAAGTAAAGGCACTTGGATGGTCAGGTGGTTTTATATTGATCTGTGGCCTTAAAACGAAGCCAGCGATTCTGGAGTGAGACGTCTTGCTGCCAGCTTGACCCCCTGAATAACCACAGTCCTGGCTGTGTCTGCCCCAGCTTGTGTTTAGACATTGATTCTAGATTGCACACTCATTTTTTATTTCTTTTGAGGGAAGCATATCCCCATAATTCCTGCCCTCCTTGTGAACCGAAAACATACATACTGATTTCACTTGCATGGCTCTTGTTTAAACAGCTTTAAGTTGAAAATAGTTATTATGTCAATAACTGTACTAGATGTTTACTGTTTATTAGGCATTGTTCTGTGTACTGTTTTCAAAACTGAGTTGGGCAGAATCTGTGCCTTGCTAGATTCATACATGATGATATAAATGGATGAATCTTAAAAATCATGATGGTCGGGGCTGGAGAGATGGCTCAGCGCTTAAGAGCACTGGCTGCTCTTGCAGAGGACCCGGGTTCGATACCCAGCACCCACATGGCACCTAACAACTGTCTGTAACTCCAGTTCCAGGGGATCCGATGCCCTCTTCTGACCTCTGTGGATATTACATGGCATGGGTGCACTTATATACATGCAGGCAATACACTCATACACATAAGAATAATAAATAAAATATTTTTTAATAAAATCATGGTGTCTAGTACACAGAGTAAGTTTTCCAGGTAGTTTACTCCTCATCCAGAGCTTGAGCTAGACATTTGGGCTTGACAGTAAGAGATGGAAATGCCCATGATGAACACTCGAGTCTTGGTAAATGAGGAAAGCCAGTTATTTAGAGTTGTAGGCAGTAGTGGACACAAAGGAAACAGGGCTGGGGCCAGCCTAATCTGCGCCTCACCCTCCTTGTGGAGCTGTTTCTGCTCCCTTGTCACCATTTTTATTGTGCTGCTTATTGCTACTAATTGTTGTGCTTTAAGTTACTATTGCCGTTCCTAATCAGATTCTTTCAATAAAGTTGTCTTTTAACTTGATTGTATGTTAAAAAACTGGAAATAGAGTCCAGATGTTTACTATTTTCAACTTACAGGATTAATTTTTGGTTTTGAGTATTGAAAAAGAAGTTCCGTATAACTAAAAAACTTTAAATCATGATTAATACAGTGAATGTTGGTAACTAATAACTAATTTTGGAGTTTTTTTGTATTATGTGGTGATCATAGTCTTGAATATTGAAAATGGATTTCATGTTTTCTGTTATGACAGTAATAAAAGTAATCCTTTCTACTTATTTTTTAAAGTTTATTATTATTATTTTTTAATTTTATGTATATAAGTAGTTTGCCTGTATGTATGGAAGTACACCTGTGTAATGCAGTGCCTGTGAAGGCCAGAAAAGGGCATGGGATCCCCTGGAACTGTCGTTACGGACAGTTGTTAGTCACCATGTGGGTGCTGGGATTCAAAAACTGGTCTTCTGTAAGAGCAGCAAGTGCTCTTAACCACTGAGCTATCTCTCTAGCCCCCTACTTAATTTTTAAATCACTTCTGATTTCTACTTAGTTTTTGCTGCACTGTGATTTAAGTGAGTGATCACACTGTTAGTCTACATTTAAGCTTTAATGTTTAAAATGTTCTCTGCTTTATAATTTGAAATAACTCACCCTGGAAGGAATTTTTTTAACCATTAGTGTAAATCATTCTTCATTATATCTTTTCTTTAGAAGCAATCTATTCACATTTTCCTTATATAGAAATTTTATTTTGATAATCTTTCATATACTTTTATTTACCTTTCAGTTTTTTTTTAGTGTTCTTGTGAAACTGTATCTGACAACTTACAGAAATTTCTACGAAAATTCTTTAAAAAGAAAATTGTGTTCTGCAGCCCCTTACAGGCCCTGTAGGCAGTATACTCAGTGCCAGCACTGTGTGTTCCAGGAGCCTTGCCTCAGAGTACTACTCAGCCCAGGATTGGTCTAACCTAGGTTTTGTTTTGTTTTTTGTTTTTTTTAATTTATTTAATAACCACATAATTAGTAGAAGCATTTCATTACAACAGCATTGATATAATCAGTAACAATTTCCAGAGCTAAGAGGCCTCTCTTTCAAAATTGGCTGTAAATTTTTAGGTTTACAGTTGAATACCCTATAAGACATAAAAATTGAATGAGTTTTTAACCTTTAAAAAAGATCTCCATTTCTTTTAAAAATACACTGTTTCATACAGTTAAGCTCATTTTTAATGCAAATAACACTTAGGTGTTTGCACATACATCTCTAATCTCTATATATCTGATTATTTATTAGTCACAGTCACTAACTCAGTTTTTTTAAAAACAATCCCAGGACAGGAAAGCCTTGCACCTTAAGTTGGAAAGCATCTTTTCATCTCTCATTTCCTATTGAACATTATAGAGAGAAAACAACTGTTCTTTTGTAGTCTCTATCAGTTCAGCCAACAAAACCTCACATTGTGAAGGTGCTCTTGTTCATTAGGGGCAATGTTCTGTGTGTTGTGAGATGTGAAATATATATATATAGTATATCCATATTGTGCAATGCCCACAGAGTTCAGAGGAGGACTCTGAACTCAGAGTTCAGTTCTTAGCTGCCATGTGGGTGCTGGGAATTGAACCTGGGTCCTCAGCAAGAGCAGTCAGTACTCTTTAACTGCTGAGTCATTGCTCCAGCCCCACAAATGAAATTTTAAATGAACGCGTGGGGGATGAGAGATGGCTCAGTGGTACAGAGCACTGACCATTCTTACAGAGGACCCGGGTTTGAGTCCCAGCACCCACATGGCAGCTAACAGCCATACATGACTCCAGTTCTAGTGGAATATGACGCCTTCTGACCTCCGTGGGCATTACACAACACGGGTGCACTTACACACATGCAGGCAATACTCTCATACACATAAAGGTTTTAAAAAAGGAAAAAAGTAAACAACAGTTTAACTGAAAGCATGCCATATGCCCTATATTTCTAAGTCCATACTCTCCCCTAGAAGGAATCACTGCTCTGACTTGAAACAATGTTACTTAATTTTATCAGTTTTTGTATTTTGTATGAAAAGATTGTATATTCTTTTATATTTAGTATTTTAAAGTGTGGTAGTATTTTGGTAAAATTCATCTCGTGTATCTTTTATATTATGATGTTTATGGTGTGAGTGTACTACAAGCTGTGTTTTTGTTTTAAATCAGTTCCAGTTGGAATGTTATAAATGGCGCTATAAGCATGCTTGTCCGTGTATTATGCTGTGCACGTCCCACTCTCAAAGGCATCCCATATGAGAGGAATTCCTGTCTAATGACTGCTTTAAACACTTCAGACTCACTAGAGAACACTCCTGTTTAAGCTACACTGTTAGCACACAGCGTTATCCTTTCTTCTGTCTTTTCAGAATGGGCAGCAACTATATCGGCACATATATTTGGGCTGCAAAGAGGAAGACAACGTTCAGAAGAACTATGAGCTGCTATATACTTCTCTTGCTCTTATAACTATTGAACTAGCCAACGAAGAGGTGGTTATTGACCTCATTCGATTAGCCATTGCTTTACAGGTAAGCTTTTGTAGCTGTTCACTGAAGAAAACTTTCTTTTTAACAAAGCAAATATTTCTAAAGAGTTATGCTTATTCAGGGACATGAATTTTGGTTAGCGGGGTGTTTAGTTGTAGATTAAATGAGCATTCATTGTGCTAGACATCACTCAAGGCCTTTGAGCCTGTGATGAGAAAGACAAGTAGTCCCTATACTCTACTCCGGTGTCACAGAGGAGGTGTCACTGAGCAGTAGCTATATCTGAGCATTTCTTAGTTGGAGTTGGCTCTTGCATATGTAAAGGGCAGTGTGCAGCATGCAGCGCTGCCTCCGGCCCTGTGTGTGTACACTGAGCACTTTCCTAAGAAAGAAACATCTAAGTCCAAAGATGTATCTGTTGAGTATGAGAACTTACTCTTCTTTCAGAATTCTTTTACAAAGCAACTTCTGATAAGGTGACATTTCTGGCAGCATGCCAGACTACCTTCACTTATCCAGTGGAGTCAGAGAAAATGCTAGTGGATTGTGAAAACTTCATCTTTTGAATGTGCTTGTTTTTACTGAAGGACAGTGCAGTTGTCAATGAGGACAGCCTTCCAGTGTTCCATCGCTGTGGGATCATGGCACTGGTTGCAGCGTATCTCAACTTTGTGAGTCAGATGATAGCTGTTCCTGCCTTCTGCCAGCATGTCAGCAAAGTAAGAAAAATTCTTACCTGAGTCTTGAACAAAAATGACTAGTTTTCTGAGTGATCATTGTTTCTATAAAATTGAGGTTCTAATTTGAAACTATAGCTAAAACTACAGTTAGTTTCTATATTATGTTTTTGTTACTTTTTTAAGGTAGTAGTTGAATAACTTGCATTATTTTCTTTTATACTTTTCCCTTTTGAGTTGTCATGAATCTTGTTATCTAGGTTTTCTTCATTTATACTGTTTGCAATGGTGTGTTTACAGTAGTCTAGCTGATGCAGATCTTGAGATTTGAATGATTAATGCACCTCTTGAAATTCTGTCATCTTTCAACATTAACTCTTTTCAGTGATAATTCCATTTACATACATAATTGCATGTACAGTTCAAAGAACCCACCTTAACCTGGTAGAAAAATGCCACAATTGAGGTCATTTCTCAGAGAACCTCATTTTCGTGAAAAGTTGAAAACACATCTTGCTAAAATAGAGTTTTTTGGTGCCTTCTAAGAAATAAAGCTCACTTGTTGATTTAAAAGTCATGTAGTAAGAGTCAGATGTCTGTTATTAGCACACATAGTGGACACACACCCTTCAGCTTGCTTACATGCCTAGGGAGGAGCCACCCCTGTTAGTGCACTGAGCTGTCCTGAGTAGGCTACAACAGGGACACAGAAAGGGGAGGGGTTGTGACTCATTAAGGGATTTCCCAAATAGTTTCTTGTCTTTATTTGATATGTGGTCGTATTTCTTCAGGGTAGGTTTAAACAAATGTAAACCATCACTTTTTTCACTTTGTGTATTTTATTATGAAACTCTAGGTATCTGCTGAATACTTAAAAGAATGAAACAACAAAATGAATTTAGTTTGAATTGCAAAATAAGTTGATGGTATTTTATATAAATGCCTAAAGGTGTTTTGTTCTTATTTTGAAAAATTTTACTGCCTAGGTCTTAAGAAGTGGAGTTTTTTTTTTTTTTAATTTCAGTTTTGATTTGTGTGTGAATGTTTTTCAGGTTATTGAAATTAGAACTATGGAAGCCCCCTATTTTCTACCGGAGCATATTTTCAGAGATAAGTGCATGTATGTTAATTCTTTACATGTTTAAGGAAGGGCTTACTAGAAAACCAATTGTATTTTAACTCATCCAGCCTTCCCCCTTGCATAGTAGAGCACTCGCACAGCATAAATGTACACTTGTACATATGCAAACAAGGGTTAAAGCAAATGAAAAAATTGGGCTTTTCATGCTTTTTAAGCGTGGCAGTGTGTTTCTCAACTCTAGCATTTTGTGTGTGTTCTCACATATAAATGAGTACTCCTTAACAGAGTACAGTTTCTTGTTGAAGATTTTAGTAATGGATAACAGCAATCATAAAATTGTGGGACAAAGACAAAAGTAAATGGACACATCTTACCTACACTTTTCCTTGTGCTCTAAAGGGAAAGTTACATGTGAATAATAATGCCGTGTCCTCCGGTCAGACCTTTGTCTCTAGCAGCAGTTGAGCATTGAAAACCACCTCCCTCCCCAGTATGGGAGTCTTACCTCACTGGGAAAGGAACATGAACCTTCTTGCGGCAGGCGTTGGGTCTCTGCTTTCTGCATAGTGTTTACACTCAAGTCAGCTAGCTGTGCTTTCACTCTTTCCTCTCATCACAGTTTGACTTAGTATGAAGATAAAACCAAGTTTAGTGTTCTTTATCCTTATGCTCAAATTGTAGCAGAGTAATACAAGGTCAGGCTCCATAGTGAGGCATAATTGGGAGAAGCATCTTAGCAACCTAGAATTGGCCACTTTAGATTGCTGATTCTTTTGTTATTTATTATTTACCAGTTTAATTTGTATTCATGTTTGAAATAGTGAGTTTTGCCCTACAATTCCTGGCTTTTTCACTTGTTTTTGCTAAGGAATTAATCCTGAATGTTGTTCTCATCAACTTGACAGGCTTCCAAAGTCCTTAGAGAAGCACGACAAAAACTTGTACTTTCTAACCAACAAGATTGCAGAGTCCCTGGGAGGAAGTGGGTACAGTGTGGAGAGACTATCTGTCCCATACGTGCCGCAGGTAACAGGTGAGAGGAATGGCCACAGCTCTTCTGGGTACTGGCTGTCACACAGTAATGAAGGTTAATTTTTGTCCGGTCTATTTACTACACCAGAGGGTTTTTTAAAGGTACTTTAGATGTTTTCTATTTGGTTGGGTTTATTATTGTTCTTAATATATCATTCATATGTTTTATGCCTTAAGATTCCTTAAACAAAGAAGCAAAATGAAATCTTATTTCAATGAACAGTATTTTGCTAGAAATTATTTAATAAGTAATTTATGTTTATTTAACAAATAAGGAAACATTTGTCTTTTGAAACAGTACAGACTGCTCTGAAAAGAAACCTGCAAACTTTTCATTGTTGGTTTTTTTCTATTGTCTAAAATAATTCCATTGTGTTTGAAGGCAAAACTACATGATATCTTGCATTTAATTTTTGCTTTAAAAATTAAAATCAGTTTCCTATGTAATTTTCAGTTAATGATTAAATGACTGTTATATTTGGTGAAAGAATAGTGTCCTTTTAAGATATCTCTTACTTGTGAGAGCTATTTGATTTCATTCAAATGATTTTATGGATTAATGACTAAAGATAGTATCATCTTTACATGACCTGGGCTACACAGCAAGTTTTGGCCAGCCTAGACTACATAGTGAGAATTCTTTCTCAAAAAACAAAACAAACAATAGGTCTATATTAGAACTCTGTAGTTTAACTTTTCAAAAAGGCTTTTAAAGTATTAAATTATTCTACTTTGGATTTAGCTGTCTTTCTTTCAGGGCCAAAGCCTCATAAACCCAGGCACAAGTACAAAGGTAACTCCTCCACCTGCTCCTGTAGCCTGTCCTCTAGGAAAGTAGCTTTATCAGATGTGCTCTTTAGAAAATGTAGCCAGTGGCCTATGTCTTTTATATAGCTGTAAGTTTAGGTATTATTTTGCTCTACTTCCCAATACAGTGTATTTTTGTTCCTCTACTGTTTTCCTTTACCCTGTTGCTTTAACTCTCTCTCTCTCTCTCTCTCTCTCTCTCTCTCTCTCTCTCTCTCTCTCTCTCTCTCTCTCCCTCTCCCTCTCCCTCTCCCCCCTTCCTTTTCCTTCCCTCTCTCCCCCTCTCCCTTTCTCTCTCTTTAAACAAGTGATTATTTTGCTCTTTCTTAGCTCCTTCCACCTCAAAACAAGTTACGGTCTACGTTCTCTTTCAGCATGCCACTCTATCATGGGTTAGAAAGGTTCTCAGTATTTCAGGGTATACTTATTTATATGATGACATAGAAATTCCTAAATACAAGTAGACCTTTTCACATTTATAAAGACTGATGTTATAAACCAGTCTGATGTGTGGATCCTTTTTTAATGTAGAACAAGTCAGGAGAGGTGGGTTTTTTTGTTGTTGATTTTTGTTTTGTTTTGTCTTTTTGAGATACGGTGTCCCCTGTAGCTTGGAACATGCTATGTAGACCAGGCTGGCCATTAACCTGCCTCTGTCTCCTGAGTGCTCAAGGAGAGGGATATTTTGTGCAATACTCAGTTATTATATTTCTTTTACTGTATACCATCCAATATTCATTTTACAATCTAAAGGCAAGTAAGAACAATAAAACAAAAGTAAAGGCACAATTTATTGATTGTGTTGGTGCTATGTGCACACCCATGGTCATATGGCCAGCTGCCATCCATCATATCCTGTGTGCCTGACACTCGGAGCAACACTCTGTTCCTGTTCAATCTTTACAATAGTTTGGTGAAGAAAGTAGCATTCTCTTTGTTTACAACAAGGATAGTGAGATTGATATTAAGTAATTTGGTTAGATTACATAGTACATTCACCTGCCTCCATGCTCTGTTAGGCGCTTAATAAGTTACTTGATTTTTTTTCCTAACCACTTTTAATGAGATAAAAGATCCCCCATTGGTGGCACGTGCCCATTATCCCAGCTCTCAGAAGGCAGAAGCTGGAAGATTGCTAGTTCAAAGTGTTTCTTAACTGGATTCATTTAACATAATTTTGCATAAAAATCAAAACTGGCATTCTATATTCCTTTCATTTTAAAATGATAGAGAATTTTTTTAATTTTTTGTTTTTTCTCTTTAAAATCATTCCAAAGAAAGGCAATTTTTAAAAAATTTTATTTAGTTTATGTGTATGCGTGTATTGCCTGCATGTAGGTAAGTTCACCTGTGTTGTACAGTGCCCACGGAGGACAGAAGAGGCTGTTGTATCCCCTGGAACTGGACTTACAGACAGTTGTTAGCTACGATGTGGGTGCTAGGATTCAAACCCAGGTCTTCTGCAAGAATAGTCAGTGTTCTTAACTACCTAGCCATCTCTCCAGCCCCCAAAGAGTCAATTTTTAACACATTTTTCCAGAAATAACTTGAAGCAGGTTACATAAAATATGAAGTTTGAGGAGGGGAAAATAGGAAAAAGAAATCAAGGACCAAAGGGTTTGCCAACATGGGGCCAACTTTGGTGAAATAATGAAGGGTTCCATTAACTCTGTTCTTTTTTTTTTTTCTTTCTGGAAATCCTAAGGAGTTTATTGGGCTTACTAACAAGGTGTGGGGGTTTATTTACAGAAGAGTGCCTCCCATTTATAGCTCCTGCTGCACTGGAAAGTCTTAATTGAATCAAGCCAGCTCTCTATCAGGCCTTGAGGGGTGGTACTGGGAGGATGTTAAGGTGTGGTCACTGTTCTCAAGGATTAAGATCTAGTGGAGAAGCCAGAGAAACAAATGAAACATAGCTGGTTCTAGAGAAAGAGTGCTGATCTGCCTGAAATTTGCTGAACTATTGGTGTCTGATGTATATGCTACATGGTGAGCAAATGCCAACTGATGATTACAGTTTTATTTTTCTCTTCAGCTAAGATGGAATTTGAATGAATAGTATATACATAGGTTTACACTAAATACCATGATATGAGGAAGGGACAATAATACCTATCAGCTGAGCCATGTAGTAGTAAGAATAGTTAGAGGTAAATGTGTATCTTGAAGTAATTAATGAGTATCTTCAGTATGCTAGCAGCTGTGCAAACAGAAGCAATAGCAAGCAAAGTAGGTGGAGGCTCCACTTTACAAAGCTCTATAATGTACCCTCCTCAGCTGGAGTTTCTCCTAAACCTAGAACACAAGATGATTTGAATGGCATTTCTCATTATCCCTGAGATAGCTCTTTGCTAGTATTAGTGTATGTACATAGGAAAGAAGTTTAATTTGTTATGCAGTCTGACTCTTAACATGTCAAATAACAGAGCAGTTGTAGGGAAGTAAAATTAAATCACAGTATATATTGAATGAGATTTCAAAGGGGTGTTGCTAAATTCTGAAGTGACTATGCTTATTATTCATTATTACTTATTATTTGTTACTCTGAACAAAGGCTTCCCTCTGTTTAGACTGTTACTGTTCTCATTTTACTGGTGTGTCTGGACATTGCTCTTCTTAGCAGTTTAGATAATGGAGCCAGTAGAGTGAGCAGCATCTTTACCTGTGTTATAATTGTATGCATGTGAGAGCTGTAAAAAAATTCCCAGGCTGGGTGTGGTGGCATATACCTTTAATCCCAGCACTGAGCCCTCAGGAGGCAGAGGCAGGTGGATCTCTGTGAGTTCAAGGCCAGCCTGGTCTACAGTGAGTTCCAGGACAGCTGGGGCTGCAGGGAGACCCTGTCTCAAAAAGACCAAAAAAAAAAAAAAAAAAAAAAATCTCAGTGGGTTAGTTGTTTTCACACTATAGTTAGGACGAGAAATCATTTACTTTGGACACATCTCCACTAGCAGTATAGGAAGAACTGATGAATCAGTGAGGCTCATTAAAAAGTTATCCAAAGAATCTAGGTTAAAAAAGATGAGGGTTTTTGTTTGTTTTTGAAACTCTTGGAAGAGATACAGAAATAAGGATGGCTTTTGTTATACATGTTAGAACTGGGTTTAGGACTTGCCAAGCAGAATTGATGAATTAGAAATTGGAGATGTTGAACTGGAGTTCAGAGGAGAAATTATGGTACTGAGCCCTCCTGGTCAGCTTTGCAGGTATCTGTAGAGCCTACCAAGTTACCTGCTACAGCTCAGAGAGCACTTGGTGGGCAAAAAGATCCATTTTAACAGTGGGACTAGAACAGGACCCAACTTGATTCATCGTTACTACTTGTAAATGGTCTACATCAAGGAAGGAAAACCATGAGGTCTGTCTTCCCAAGTACTTACATATTTCTGAGTAAGAGAACAGCGGTGCAAAGTACTCACATGGTTGGAAAATAGAAGAGATAGAACTGTTAAAATACCTTCAAGACTGGTGACAGCATCCAGATGGGTATGTAGGAGACTTGAAGCTTCTGGGAGGCTTTCCAAGCTGCAGGCATGGAATGTCTGATAGCTGTCTTCATTCCTTGTTCAGCCAGGCTTGAATTAAACCTCTAACTTTGTATATTGGAATATACAGTGTAGCTGCTTTCTTTTCTTAGAGAACCATGATTATTAGATGTTCTCCCAGTGTCCTGTATTTTCTTATCACACTTGCATTTTTTTTTTTTAATTGGTCTTTTTGAGACAGGGTCTCCCTGTAGCCGCAGCTGTCCTGGAACTCACTGTGTAGACCAGGCTGGCCTTGAACTCATAGAGATCTGCCCGCCTCTGCCTCCCAAGTGCTGGGATTAAAGGGGTGTGCCACCACGCCCTGCTCACACTTGCATTTTTTAATATTACTATCTGTATTCCTATCAAACTATAAATTGTACAAATGTTGACTGTGTAATCAGCACTTTGTCCTAAACACCTGGCATAGTCTTTGTTTACTTAATAGATTTGAGGTAGAAAAGACCACATGGAGGGAGACTTTCATCAGTAAATTCAGATGTCTTTGAAGTGGTTCAGAAGGACATGGACTGGTTGGACATACTGATAGAATTAAGTGATTGGGAACACAGAAGTGTGGTTGGAGGTAGACTTGTAATTCCAAGGCTTCAGAGGAGTCATTTACTAGTGGAAGTTCAGAGCAGTTGGTTCGTACTGTGCCAACAGGTTTGCGGAAGTGCATTAGCTAGAGCACCGAAGGGAAGAGAGTTTCCCTGGACAAGTGGTTGAATTACAGTGCAAAAGAGTGAACGCCCTTGGAGATGAGTGACTGGAAAGTGGTAGAGAAGGTATTTACTTGATCAGCAAATTCTTCCACAAACTTTAATGCACTGTAAACACTTATAAAATTAGTTCCCAAACTAATAACATCATAGAACCAGAATTGACAGCCTCTATTATTTTATAGAAAAATTAAAAATACAGGGCAGCATTTTTTCTTTTTAAATTAGCTTGAAAATCCAACTTTCTATTGGTATTGACTTTTGCTTTTTATTAAAATGCTAGATATTATTCATGTTAATAGTCTAAATACCTCTAGAAAAATAGAAAAATTGGGGCTGGAAAGATGGTTCAGTACTTAAGAGCACTGGCTGTTCTTGCAGAGGACCCAGGTTTGATTCCCAGCACCTACATGCCAGCTAACTACCAGCTGTAACTCCAGTTCCAGGGGATCCAATGTCTTCTTCTAGCTCTGCGGTCATTGCATGACATGAGTATACTTACGTGCATGCAGGCAATACACTCATACATATAAAATAAATATAATAAAATATTTTCTAAATAAGGTTAGGCCAGGCACACACCTTTAATCCCAGCAGAGGCAGAGGCAGGCAAGTCTCTGAGATTGAGGCCAGCCTGGTCTACATAGCAAGTTCCAGGCCAGCTGGGACTTCAGGGAGACCCAGTCTTATAAAATAATTAAAATAAAATAATTAAATTAATAAAATAAAAAATTTAAAGTTTAAAATTTTTGAATTTTAATTTTTGAGATTTTTCACACATGCCTATATTGTGTGTTGAACATTTTCCCCATCTGTAGGCCTATTTTTTTCTCCTAGATAATTTCACTTCAACTTTCATTTAATATATGCATACATGATTTTATGTGACTGTATAAAACCTAAAAAGCACAAATGAAAGGAAACATGCAGTATTTGTCTGAGGCTGTCTGAATTCACTTAATAGGATTATCTTCAGTGGCGTCCATTTCCACAGTGGCATCTCACTCCCCGTTGTGGCTGAAAAAAGAGTACATTGTCTTTATATACTTCATTTTCCTTCTCCACTCCTCTGCTGCTGAACACCTAGGCTGGCTCCTTAGCTGTTGTGAATAGTGCTACACTAAACATTGATGTACAAGAATCTCTGTTCTGTGTTGACCTCGGGAGTCATACAGCTGGGCCGTGTGGCAGATCTGTCTAGTTTTTTGAGAAACCTCCATACTGATATCCATAAAGACTGGATTAGCTTACATTCTCACCAGCAGGGTATGAGGGCTCCCTTGTGTCCACATCCTTGCCTTGCCACCCTTGTCTTGTTGTCGTTTGTTTTCTTAATGACTACCATGCTGACTGGAGTAACTTTTCATTAGCATTTCTTTGTTGGGTAGTGAGTTTGAACAGTTTTCATGTTTATCGACCATTCGTATTTCATCTTTTTTGAACTTTCTGTTTATTTCATGAGCCTATTATTAACTTGGTGTTTTCTTATTTAATTTCTTGAGTTCTTTGTATAATCTAGATAGTAATCCTGTGTCATATGTATACTTGGCAAAGATTTCCTCCCATTCTGTGGATTGTCTTCTTACTCATGCTATGTGTGCTTTGCTGTACAGAAGGATTTTTAATTTCATAAGGTCCTGTTTGTTGGTTGTTGGCCTTATTTCCTGAGCAACTTGGGTCTTATTCAGAAAGCCCTTGCCTATGCACCATATCTTGAAGTGTTTCCCTTAGTTTTTCCTCTGACAAGTTTCAGAAAAACTTTTAACCTTGTGTTAGCTCACCTCATCAGTTTTATTTTTAAATCTCCTTTATGAAATTTAAAACTCTGAGAACATTGAAATTATTATATCGGATCAAGGGCTATTACTCCCCAAATACAAGAAAGTCAGACTACTAAATAACAAAAAAACAGACCTTTTTAAAAATGAGCAAAGTACTTCAGTAGACAATGCTTAAAAGAAGACATGCAGAAATCAGTAGTTACATGGAAAGTACTCAACTGTGTAATCACCAGAAAGAAGTAAAACTACAGTAAGATGTTATTGAACCACCTCTTAGATTGACTGTTACCACAGAGGTGAAAGATGACCAGTATCAGGGATGCACAGAAGGTAGCCCTTACACACTGTTTACGTGGAGGGTGACACACAGGTGAGAGTTCTCATAAGACTATAGATATGATTGCCATGTGGTCCAGCAATCTGGGCATAGCCCAAAAGAATTGAAGTCAGTGTGTAGAAGACATGTCTGCTTTCCCTTTTTCCTACAGTGTTCATTACACAGTAACCAGGATACAGAAACAGCTCAAGTGTCCATCGACATAATAATTGGTTTTAAACATGTGGTATATATGCACAGCGAAATACTATTAATCTTTAAAAAAAAAAATACAGGGATTTCTCACACTTGTTTCAATGTGGGTAAATCTAGAGGACATTGTGTTCCGTGGCAAAAGCCCAAAAGACAAATACTACATGACTTCATTCAGTTACATAGGAGACATAAGTTCTGATGTTCTGTTGTACAACATGGTGATCATAGTAATTGTATATATTTCTAAGTAGCTAAAAGCAAGGATTTGGGGCTGGTGAGATGGCTCGGGAGGTAATGGTGCTTGCTGACAAGCCAGATGATCTGAGTTTGATCTCCACAACTCACTTGGCAGAAGATGAGAACTGACTCCCATGACTGTCCTCTGACTTCCACACATGCACCATGATACAAGTGTGTGTGCACACATACAATAAATAAATGCAAAAGAGGTTTTTTAAAAAAATAAATAAATAAAAGACAAGGTTTTAAATGTTCTTACCATAAAGAAACTAATGGAAGTGTTGGATATGCTGATTTGCTGTTGATCTTTCCACAATGTATACAGGCACCAAAACATTACATTGTACCCGATAAGTGAATAAAAATAACAATTTAAAATAAAAAATAAAACATTTTACAGTCTGAGAGTATTGCTTTAAATACTTAGAGCAAAACCCCAAAATTAATTTTCTAAATTGTTTTACAATCTGAAATCAAGTTTCTTAGTAAAAATCAATATATTTTTGACTAAGAAGTGATGAAAGAAAACAATTATTATTTCAGATGAAGATCGTCTTTCTAGAAGAAAAAGCATTGTGGACACTGTATCTATTCAGGTGGACATCTTACCCCACAACATGCCTTCCGATGACGTGGTAAGTCATCACTAGAAGCTCATGCTGAAGTGCTGTCTTAAGATAGTCACCATTTCAGAGAAAATTTTCTCGCCATACTTACAAATGGGAAAAACTACAAGTCTAAATTAGCTTCAGGTCAACTAAATTTTTAGTAGAAATTTATTTAGCTTAATTTTAGTGAATTTATTTCAGCTGATTATAAAGATACATAAAGTTAATGTATGTTATATTATTAGATTTTTTTGCATTGGAATTCGGTGTAACAAAAACTACAAAACAGAAGCAAAGATATTTATTTTCATGTAAGTATGAGATGTTATACAAAACCTCTTATTAAGTTGGTAAGCTCTCTAGATCCTGTTTTTTTAATTTATGAAGCATAGATGGTGAGAATAAATAAATTGGTTTCATACCTCCTGTGAAGCCAAATGCTCACTTCCTTTAGAAAGTGTCAAGCTTCATATGTAATTGTGTATCGTTTAGATACTAGGTGTAAGGAACGTAGCTGAAGCCATCTCTCAGTTGCTCTTTGCACTGTGGCTGCCATATGCTTGATGCTCTCCTCCTGTTCCGTAGGGGACAGGAGAGTGCCCCACTAAAATACACAAGAAAGGGCAGCCAGGATTCTCAGGATTCATACAACATATTTTAATAGCCATGTAAAAATGCCATGGTTCCAGCATGTCCAGTCAGCCTCCTCTTCATGATTTATACATTACTTTCCTATTTCTCATTGGTACAGCATAAATAATTAAAAAGAAACTAATAATCAGAATTCATTCTTTCTTGCCCCACTCCAGCCCATCCTCAGTTTTCAGTCCCCATCAGTTCATTTGTAATCACTTAGTGGTCATGAAATAACCAACCAACTTTGGTTTTCTTTGCAATTCAACTCTCTATTATACAGAACTAATGCTCTTCTAAAGAAATTGCTAGCAGACATCAAGAGTGAAGAGGGTTGAGGAGATAGCTCAATGGATAAAGTGCTTGTACAGCATGAGGACCTCAGTTCAGAACCCCAGCACCCACAAAAAAAGCCAGGTGCTGGGACACGAAGACATGCAGATTCTGATACTCACTGCCTAGCTACTCTAGTCAAAATGACAAACTCATTCAGTGAGAGACCTTGTCTCAAAAAATGAGTGGGGCTAGGGACATGATTAAGTGGATAAAGCACTTGCTTGGGATGCATGATGACCAGAGTTGGCATCTCCAGCACTCCATAAAGACAGGTGTGGCTCCTGTCTGTAACCCCAGCCAGCATTCAGGAGGCAGGGTCAGGAGATGCCAGGCAAGCTGGCTAGCTAGACTAGGTGGTGTTGGTGAACTTAGGGCTCAGCATGAGGTTCTACTTGATATATAAGGCGGAGAGTGACTGAAGAAGACACCTGACATCAACTTTGGTCTTCCCAATGCACACACATCAGCACATATGTGCTCCCCTCCCCACGGGAATATGCATATGCATACAAAACAGAGAGAGAGAAAAACAATTAAAGAAGACATCCTAACATTCACTTTTGGCCTTCACGTGTGCCTGTATGGATAAGGGTACGTGCACGCACACGTGTGCGCGCACACACACACACACACACACACACACACGCACACACGAGACATCATTCTGAAACTCTGAGCACTAAGTCCAGCTAAGTTTCTTACCAATTAAAGCTTAATAAAAGCCACTGTCCCTAAATCACCTTTCTTCAAAACCATCTTAATGTATGCACTTCTTACGAGTAAAGAGAGTATCTTGCTAACTCTTTTAGTGATGACGAGTTTGCTCTTGGCCCCTTAGGAAGGAGATTTGCTCAGAGCCTTGGCTTCTAGGCTTCATTTCATCAGAAGTGCAAAATATTTTGGTGATTGTATTTTCCTTTCTCCTTTTGCTTTTTATTTGCTTCAGAAACACGTATTTGGCACTTGCGACTGCTGTAAAGAGTCAGTCTGTTCTGATGATGAACTGAAAAACATTTGTGTGAAGACAGTGTACGGGGTTCTTGAAGTGAATTTTACAGTTAAAGTCCGTTAATACATTAACTTCCCAAGGGTTCTGCTTCCTGTTGGCTGTAAATCCTAAGTCCCATATGTCACATACTGAACCTCTGAATGTGTGATTTCTTGTCATTTTTACTTGAGCACATTGGGGTTTCAACCTCAGTGATCATTATGGAATCTGCTTTTGTATATCAGAAATCATTGTTTGAAATCTTCTAGGCAAAAATAAGTAGTTTCATAGCAAGGACAGAAGAAATTCACTACAGTTAGCTAGTCTCCAGTTACTGGTAAATATGTGTTCAAGTATTAATCAGTAAAAATTAATATAACAAGAGTGCTGACCTAACTTCTCCCATGTTATTTTTCCTGTACTACATATAGTTATTTCTTAAAAACATGAAACTATTAACCAAGTAAGGACAGTGAATTTGTTTCTTTCTTTCTTTTTTTCTTTTTTTTTTCTTATTATTAAAATGCTAGTGCTAGATTGCTTCTAATCATTAGCCAGAGCCTAATCTTGTATGTCTGCTCCAAATGTCTAAAAGAACGCAACTGAAGATTCCCAAGTTTAATCTGACTTCAACTAGAAATGTGGCCCTTGGTAGCAAAGCTGGGGTAGTGGAACTCTGGCTGCTTGACTTCCAGCTAAAGCCTTTGTATTACAGAGACATTAAGGTGCAGAACACAAAATCTGGCTTTCATTAGTCTCGCTGCCTTAGACTTAGCAAAAGAAGCTCATGAGCTAAAATTAGGGATAACCAAAGTGCTAGGCATGTACTTGTGTATTGTTGCTTAATTCTTATTCAGAGATACTATAGTAACTGGATTTATACTTCCTGTAAGATTGTTTTGGTACCTCAAAAAGTATCATTGCCCATTATTTCAAAACAAGAAATATTTGAGAAGTCACGTTATAAAATCTTGATACATGGCATTAGAAGATCCAGAATAGGCTTGTTTTAAGGTGAACATTTCCCAAAGTAGTGATTCTTTAAAGATTTGCTTTTGTTTTTATGTATGTAAGTATTTTGCCTACATGTATGCCATGTGTATCCAGTGCCTACATAAACCAGAAGAGGGCATTGGATCCCCTAGAACTGAGTTACAAATGGTCGTTAGCCACCATGTGGGTGCTGGGAACTGAACCCAGGTCCTCTGTAAGAGAAGCAAGTGCCCTTAGCTGCTGAGTCATCTCTGTAGCCCATGATTTTTATTTTTAAACCATTTAAATTTTTAGGATATTTTGTGCTTGATTTGTACACTGGCCAAAATTATAGAGGCTGTTTAGTTATTAGTTCTTATTTATCAAAATGTATAACTAAAAATGTATCTGTAATCTCAGCTTTGACTGCTTCAGAGCATCGTTCACTTACAGAGAACACAGTTCAGTCCCCAGGCATCTTGTTGCCCATCACAGGCTATGTGTCTAATTCAAGCTTGCAGAGCTACTACTGACTCTGCCAGGCTGATACTCATGTGTTCTTCTGTGCAGGAGCCACTGAAATATGCCCTTGTTATGTCCAGTGAGAACATGCAGAGCGTTTGCTGATGGGTATATAATCACAGATCAGGCCAACAGAAAAAGGAAAAATGGTTGCAAAAATATTTAGATGACCTGTAAGTTGGTAAAAGTATTAATTGAACTTTTCTTAACTCTTCATTTTCCCTAAAATCTCTGCAGGTTAGCAACACTGAAGAAATCACCTTTGAAGCACTGAAGAAAGCGATTGGTAAGATGTGGGTACTTGTTAGGTTTCTAGTAACTCTTCTCTGCCTTGGTGCTCTTAGATGACAGAGTTAGTGGAGGCAACATGGGAAAAAATGGAGGAAAGGAAAATACTGTTGCTTTCTATATAAATAGATTATTTAAATACATTGTTTAAGCTTTTTTAATTGTCTCATATATGCGTGTGTGTATATGCATGTGTGTATATATGTGTGTATATATGCGTGTGTGTATATAAAATGTATATATATTTACTCTCTAACAAACTTTGGCCAGATCATTGATCACTTCAATTTAGCAAATATTAGTTCCTCATATACAATGCCATAGTATTCACAAAAGAGTTATTCTAGAAAGTCCTGATAGTCTATTGATTCCTAGGAAGTTATTATTTTCTCAGATGGGTGGATTGTGCTGATAGTCTCTTGATTTCTAGGTAGTTACTATTTTCTTGGATGGATGGATGGATGGATGGATGGATGGATGGATTTTTTAATTTTAAAAAGATGTGCTTTCTAGTCTTAAATGTGAATCATTTTTAAAATGTTTTATACTTTGCTTTTTTCCTTCTAAAAGTAGCCCTTTAAATCACCCTGGTTGGGTTCATAGCTCATTCCTTAGGTCCTGGTTTTATGAAGCACTGCTCTCTTTGATGGGTCCTTATTCCCACCTAGACACCAATGGAATGGAAGAACAGGAGAAGGAAAAGAGACGGCTTGTGATAGAGAAGTTCCAGAAAGCACCTTTTGAAGAAATAGCAGCACAGTGTGAATCCAAAGTGAGTGAGGAGATAAAGAGGTGGGTGGGGAGTGGCCTGGAGCTCCTTCCATCACTGGTTGGAAAGACCCAAGCACATCAGAGCACAGCAGTGGCAACCTCTGAGGATGAAGATGTTACATGGTGAAGCTGATGGCAGTGGTGGATTCTAAAATGGGTGCTGATGAGTGTCATTACTTTAGTGCTTTTTTTTTTTAGATTTTTAAGAAGTTTTATATATTTTTTTAAATAGTCATTATTTTTATTTTATGTGGATGAGTGTATTGCCTGCACATTTATGTGAGTGCACCCATGTCATGAAGTGCCCCTGAGGTCAGAAGAGGGCTTCAAATTCTCCTGGAACTGGAGTTAAGGATGTTTGTAGCCACCATGTGGGTGCTGAAAATCAAATCCGGGTCTTCTGCAAGAGCAGTCAGTGCCCTTAACTGCTGAGCCATCTCTCCAGCCCCAAGTTTTATATGTTTTTGAGTTTCTGTATACTTTATATAATACATCTTAATCAAATTTAGACCCCTTCCCTGCCCCTCATACCACCCCCCCACCACCACCAAATTTCAGGCATTCTGTCATACCTGTTAAGTCCTTTCTGGTCAAGTGTTTGTATCCAAATGTCTTTAGGTACAAATTCATCCACTGGAATCTAGCCAACCTCTATCTAGAGTCACTCCCTTAAAGAAGATTTATTCTCCTTCACCCTGCAGTAATCATTTGCTAATAGTTCCTTGGCTAGGGTTGGGGCCTGCTACCCGTTTCCCCCAGTGTATGCTAGGTTTTTGTCTGAGTCAGCATAGGTCTTGTAAATGCTGTCACCATTGTTGCAAGTTCATGAGCAAATTCCCAGAGGCCTGAAAGCCTCTGCTTCCTTATGTTCATACGGCAACCCTATCTCTTAGAATCTTTCTGCCCTTTCTTCTGCAATGGTCCTTGAGCCGTGGGTGGGTGAGTGAGGTTTAGTATAGGAGTCCTATCCAGGGACATGCACACTACAGTCTCTTATTCTCTAGAACTTAGCCAGTTGTGGCCTTCTGTGTGTATTGTTTCATTGATAAGAGTTGAGGGATGCATTAGTATTCTCTCTACCCCCTGTTCTGCTATGTTCTATGAGCCTTAGGTGCAGAGGTTCCAGAGAACACCAATTAGACACATGTTGATGCTGTTCCGCAGTGGTTTTCCATGATATTGGCTATGGGTATTGTGTTTATCTTTCAGTTTATAGCTGTAAGTGTAGGAAAAGGGAAAAAGAAGCGTCTGTTAAATTCCAACAGATATGACAGATGAAAACTTGAAAATAGTATTTATTTCACACTAATAGTTAACAGCTGTGCTTTGTCCTTTACATTTTTATTATTGGGTATTTGGAAAACAATAAATCTGAATTTTTTTTTTTTTCCTTTGCAGGCAAATTTGCTTCATGATAGACTTGCTCAAATATTGGAGCTCACCATACGGTAAGGTTTCTGTTAGCTACCACAGCAGTAACAATAGAGAAACCAGTAGACCCTGTACTTGACTGGGCATGTTTAAATTACTGTTTTGCACTGAGGACAAACAGGATCAGACCAGCGGCCCCTGTCTCAGTGCCAGGCGGAGTTTGAGCATTTCCTGTCCAGTCGTCCCCTAACTTTCCTAGCTTCCTTCAGATCATTTTTTTCATGATGGCCCCCTAAGAACCCCTGTGCAATGTGGAAGACCCATAATCTAATGTTATGTTTAATTAGGAAATCATTTGTATTCGACCATTTCTGACTCACTGAAATTGTACTTTTAAAAATGATTTTTCCCAGGGCAGGAGTGCTACCCCAGTGTGGCTGGGCCATTTGGATCATTGGCTATCCTTGAGTTTTCTTAGACCATATCCATTCAAGTCCTGTTATGAAGCAGCTGTAAAGTGAGCAGAGTATAAACAGTGCCAGGTGACCAGTTACTGGTATTTTACATAAGGTTCTCGTACCACCAAGGAGAAGTACAGGAAAATGCATGCTTCCACTAGAGACATTTGTTTAGTCTGTTTCCTTTCCTGTGCTGATTGGATTTTCACTGTAGTTCTCTGCTTTTTCTAATTGCAAACATTAACATTCCTCTTTTTGGGGTATTAAAGCATAGCACTCAAGATAATGGAAATTCGGAAAGGATATGGAAGATTTGACTAGCATCCATTAACTTGAATGGTCAAATAATACAGAAGAGGTTTCTGGGGCTGGAGAGATGGCTCAGAGGTTAAGAGTCAGTACTGCTTTTGCAGAGGACCAGAGTTCAGCTCCCAGCACTCACATAGAGTGGCTCACAAGCACCTATAACTCTAGTTCCAAGGAATCTGATGCCTTCTGTTCTCCACAGGAACCGGCACTCAGGTGCACATACATATACACAGACGTTCATGAATACATTTGACTAAAACTAAAAGTTTTTATAGAGGGGAGAGGCCCCTTGTGAGGCTAGCCAGTCTCCTCATTGCCACTTACTCATTTGCATGTCTCGTGACTCATAACTGTGCTCTGATCTCTGTCTTTAAAGATTAGTGTGACTCATTCTCAAACTTGCTTGAATGACAGTATCCATTGTCTTTATCATGCTATGATGTGTGTGTGTGTGGGAGAGAGAGAGAGAGAGAGAGAGAGAGAGAGATTTTTATCAGACAGCACACTTAAGATCTGCATTTCACTCTGAAAATGATCTCTTAATAAAACATTAAAGGAGTATGAATATTGGTACACTTGGCAAAATTATTTGCTAAAACAGTATATCACAAAAGTATAAAAACCACCTAAACAATTTCATTGAGGAGAGTTTAAAATTTAGGATAATTATATGAAGTTAATATATGTGCATATTATCAATCAGCAAAAATATTCATAACCATAGAATACCAATAAACACAGACAATGAAATAAATGTAAGTCTGAATTATTCTTAATAATACTTCTATAAAGAAAATTCATGCTTTTTTTTTTCACTGTGTGGGTGTGTGTGTGGGGTGGGGGTGTCTGCCTGTGTCTGGGGTCACGGTCACGACCTACATGTGGAGGACTAGGAACAGCTTGCAGGAGCTGGTTCTCTCCTTCTACCATGTGAGCTCCTCAAATCAAAGTCAAGTCATCAAGCTTGGCAGCAAGACCTCTTCCCACTGAGCCCTCTTGTGGACCCTCATACCTTGTTCTTAAGTTGGAAATTAATATCATAAAGACATCAGCTCTTTGCAGATTAATCCATAACTTTAATCAATATATTCACAGAACTTATTTATATTTGAATAAATGCTAAGGGCAGTTTGAAAGAATCTTACATAAGAACAGTCAGGAAAGTGTCTTAGAACTAGCAGAGGCCCTGCCCTGCTTGACAGAGGACAGGGTTGGTCTTTGGCGCTGTTAAGGTTGGGTTTGGGTAGAAATGGGTAGAATGGAGGAGAATTGAGATTTAAAAGTGTCTATGACAAAGGTAAGACTTAAGATTTTTAAGGAAAAGAACAAATGTTGAGTTAGTCTTAGACAACTGCTAAAAATGATTTTTCAGTAAAGGAGGGAGGATTCCTACTTCACCTCTAAGATAGAAAGTCAGCCATTTGTTAGAAAAGTATGTAGAAATAGAAATTATTTAGGGGTTTGTGTGTGATCTCGGGAGTGGTGGTTCACTGTTAACTGGGAGACTAGAAATGGTAAGGAAATTGATTATTCTGAATGTAAGGTTTTTAGACATTTGGCCAAAAAAAAGTTGAAATTAAAGAGTTAGTAAATTTCATATTAATTTCCTAAATTAGTATAACTGAAGGAATATAGACAATAGATTCATGAATTTATGTTTGAAGAAACCAAAATGAATGCTACACAGATGTTTATTACTGGTAATAACTCAGAGACTAAAGATGAAAGAAGGAATGAATTCCCTTTTGCCTTCCAGATTGGCAAGAGTTTTTTAAAATAGAGTGCATTGCCCATTTTCTGGTCAGTACATACCAAGAGTAAAATTGTGAATCCACTTTGATTCAGAAACTCTTATAAGTCTGTTGATCAAGGAAGAACAAAATTATGTATGCATAGAAATAGATTTGTAAGCATCGTTTGTAATAATGAAAGTGAAACATGCTTGTCTAGTAGATTAAGTATCTCAATACAATGAAATACCATGCTGTAAGGAAAACTTAATGAATATGGATTATTTTCTACCTGAAGAACAAAGTAACTCATAAGAATGCTCACTGCTATCCTGTTAGAAAAATACATACACACAGAGAACAGTGTGTAGTTTGGACTTAAAACAGCTGGATACCTCTGGTGTTTTGCCCAGGAAGTCATTCAGCTGGCCAACACTGCATTGATCTCTTCAGTAAGTCATCTTACTTTGCTATTTGCAGGTAGTAGATTGAATGCTCTATGACGTGAACAGCCTTTGCATGCACCTGGTGACAGTTCCATGTTCTTCTTTTACAGCCCTCCACCCAGTCCATCAGGAACACTGACCATTACTTCTGGGCATGCCCAATACCAATCCGTCCCAGTATATGAGATGAAATTTCCAGATCTGTGTGTGTACTAACTGACAGGCATGTGAGGACTTCAGCACTTTAAAGGATTTTAAAGCCTAAAAAACAAGGCCAAGATGGGTTTTCAGTCTTCACAAAATGCTCGTTACCAGGCGTCCCGAAGGTGTGATGGTATTTAGCCTTAACCAGGTGTTGTCATGCCGCATTAGAAGTATGGGAACTGTGATTTAGAACACTTTTGATGGTAGATTTATGCCACATTAATTTGTTCAAGGTTCCTGTTAGCTTTTAAAGTTGAACATGTATTACTCTCACATTATTCCATTGTTAAACAGTGTATTTTACATTTTTCACAAATGTGATTTTGTGTAGAAAAAAAGGATTTAAAGTGTATGCAGTGTCTGTTGTATTTCTTAAACATTACACAACTGCTTCAAAATAGATTGGTTTTCATTTTGGTTATCTGCAAAAGTAAATATCCTCCTAATCCTGGGGTTGCAAACTGCCACGTCTTCTGAACCAGGCTGCAGACACACTGCAGTAGATATCCCTCTGTCTTCTGTGGTCTTGTGTGGCTGGCCGTCCTCAGCATGTTGACAGTAGAACGCGTCCACTGAGTACTGTCACCATCTAGACTCCCACCCAGAGAATCACCATTCCTTGCTGGTTCTTATAATGCTGTGTCTTCTGCTGAGACTTTGAGCACTGGAGAGGCTTAGTGCTTCTCCTGAGCTCCAGACTGCAGTGTTTTCCATGTAATATGTATTAATTTACAGACTGCACTTTGAAAGTATAGTAGTATTTTGCTGTGGCTCTGTAAATCAAATAAAATATATATTTACTATAGAAAAGAAAGACATTTAAAACAGCTGCCTGTTCACCTATGTAGTATCTGAACATTTCAGTGTCTTTTCCATGAATTAATTTACATTTTTATATTGTGTATTGTTTTAAATCTTCATAGTCAAAAAATTTCTCCAGTTGAACTTTTTAATTTGTAAGATTTGAGCCAAAACTTGTATGCATCTCTGTTTAAGATTAGCTATATTGCATTCAAAATGGTACGTGTGTTCTAGCCGTGGTCTGTTAGTGTGAGCTGTGTTTTATTCCAGCCTCTGAGACTGCAGGAGCAGTTGTGCTGAGCATTTTAAAGAACTCTACCACATGGTGAAAATAAACACCCTGTAATTCTTAGAAAATTCTTAGGACAGTTTTATGAAATCACTTTGTAAAGTTGTACCTTTTCGGATTCACTTTCTTTTTTTCTTTTTTCTTTTCTTAACATAAAACAGTATGCATATAAAAAATTATAGCTCAGAATATTTTTGTTTGAAAAAAATGAACTGAAAAATGGGATGTTTTAACTGTTTATGATATTTGGGCACTAATAGTACAGAAGAAAGGTAAAGGGAATGAAAACAGGCAGGCATACTAAAACTGTTTGCATATTTAAACCAAAGTGCAGTGTCTTGGAAAAGGGTACCTTTAAGGACAAGGCCCAGGCTGCTGACTGGGTGTATGGGAACGCCTTGTCTTGTGAGGGCCGGACCAGCCACCACTGAAGAGCAGACATCCTGGTCCAGCGATTGCGTCCCCTGTACCGGGGAAAATGCCACCAGTTAATAAGCCTCGTCTCATGCGTTTTTGTTTCCCATTTTTCTTCTGTATTTTTAAAGAAGGGTATTATTTTTGGACTGCATTTAAAAATCTAAACAGGGACATGCAAAAACAATCATCATCCACTTGGATGTCATTTTATAAATTAACACTGTGTGCTTTTGTATGGAAAAAATATATAATTTAATAGTGTAAGAAAAGATATATATTCACTTGCACTCATGCAGAACACAAACGTTGCTCTGTAAACTTTCTTGTCGCTCACTGATTTAAAGATGCATGTTTTGCATGTAAAAGAAAACCATCGCAATTAATGTTTTATCACACCTTTCTCTTGGTCTTTGTGAGCTGTTGATTTCAGTTTTTGTTAGTTTTTAATCTCAGAAGACTTCGAGATACCTTAGGTCCAGTACACTGAACTGGTCTTGTTGACAAGGATTCCCAAGAAATGCATGTTCCTATCTGAGCCTTCCATGACCACGGGGGATTCCGCCTGGACAGGTGTGCCAGCCGTGCTATGGCCGGTTTAGTTGCTGGAACTTTAGAATTTGCTGAAGTTCATTGCATTGGTATATTTTAGTAGATGTGTGAAACCTGAAATAAATTGTTGATCATTCTCTTTGCTGTATACAATCGTTTATCTTTTTCTGTGACATTGAACAGTTAGCATTTAAACGTTGCTCCTGTGCTGTTTCTGTGGCTGCTTGTAGAGCTTGACTGCACTTTACCTGGCCGTACACATTCATAGTCTCATTTCCTCTTCCCTTTCCCCCTCCCTTTTCCCCTCCCTTCCTTCCTCTCTCCCCCCTTCCCTCTCTCTCTCCCTCCTCCCTTTCCTCTTCCCCCTCCCTCCAGAGCTCGTCATCTTTTAGGGTACTAGCACACTTCACCAGCAGTTTGGCTTCCCACTTCCCAGATGGAATTCATTTGTCTCATTCATGCTGGTATATGTATTAATGTAATAAAGTTTTGTAAATGTAAAAATTCACTGTGCAATCATATGTAAGCAATAAAACAAGTTTAATTTCTTGTATAAGTACGTTTTTATAAATAGCATTATATATATGGAATTAAATTTTTTCAACATTTGCTTTAGTAAAAATCAGGTTACTGTGTGGATTCATCCCCATGTACCTGAGTCATCATGACTTGTCATGACGGGAGCCGCTGACGGGAACCGCACACTGTCACCATCTCTTTAGCCTTAGTGATGACTTTGCAGTATACCTCCTTGCTCTACACATTATGAGGCCTCAGAAAAACAAAACAAAAAACAGCTGCTCCCTAGTCCCTTATGCCACCCTGATTAGCTTATTTTACCTCCGCATAGCTGTGCTTCAGAGCCAATATAATTTTCTGAGGCATCTTGTGTCAGGCCCAGTAACAGTGACGAGGAGCTGCGACTCTGGTTCAAGTCCAACCCCACCAATTCCTGGCTGAGCAGTCGTAGTGATTGAACTCTCATCTGTAAAACTAGAACAGTGTGGTCTGCAAGCAACTTAGCTGAGGGGGATAACCCAACCATTGCATCATGCCTACGTTACAGAATAAGCTTTCAGTAGATACAGCAATCTTCCTTGAAGTCTTGTGTTCTCTGGGACCATTTCCATAAGTAATAGCTGCACATTATCTTTGCCTCAGGCGCTGCCTTAGAGAAGCCCAGACTGGACACTGCCTTCCTAGTACAACCCTGGACCGCCACATACGGATCCTGGGCCTCTATCTCAATTCTCAGGTCAGTCATTTCACATTTCTGACCACGTTTCCACAGGGACAAAGTGAGCACTGTACAATGCTGTCTCGTGGGCTTTCCACCATGACTCGCTGTGAACTTGTTATCTGTTCTGTCATCCAAGTATGCATTAATAAGAAAGAGGGGTGGTCGGGAGAGCAAATCTTGCCTCTTGGTTTTGCTATATTCAACCTTTAGCTTACACTTCAGCTGGAGGCCGACATGCTAAGAAGGCAGTGTCTAGTTTAGGTTCCCTCCTGCAGAGCCTGAGGCAAAGCCATGTGCAGGTATCGCTTTGGGAAGCGGCCCCAGAGAACCCTAGCAAGGGAACGAGCCGTGAAATGGGAGGGCAGACCTGAGGACTCATGGCTGTCACTGGTGCCTGGAGAGCTCCATCCTGGACATTCTGGAGTCTCCTAACCTCCAAGCTGCCTACTCACAGCATGAAAACGGAGGCAGCATTTACCCTTTGGCCTTTGTTCATGGACGAGGTGGCCCTCTGGGCATTAGTTTCCCAACACCTGGATGGCATGTTCTTGGGTGCTGAACTATTGTCTGAGGCCCTTTTTGTCTCAGAGAATTCTTGGTCAGAATGAAATATAGATGTGCAGATAACAGATGTGGAGGCTCTGCCTGCAGAGGGCAGGTTCATCCTGTGGAAGTGGTTCTCATGGAAGAAAAAGATGGGAATTAGAGAATGGGAAGTCAGGCAAGAAGTTCTTGGTAATCTTTATTTTAAAAAGTAAATCTAGGACCAAGGATGTAGTGATGGGTGACTTGTCACAGCTGTGATGTGGCTGCTCATAAGGGTGGCATGCGTATTTTAGGATACAGCAGAAGCACTCTGACCTTAGTCCTTAGCATCATTAGTAGGTTATTGATGATCCACAGGAAATTTATTAACTTTTTTTGGATCAAATTTATTTATTACAAGGTAAAAATTCTGTATTTTTATATAAATTCTCTTTGGAGTGTCAGTTTATGAGATACGCCTATGCACTCATTAACTCGTGTGTGTGTGTGTGTGTGTGTGTGTGTGTGTGTGTGTGTGTGGCTAGGGATAGAAACCAGGGACTTTAGCTCACCAGGTAAGCACTTTACCACTGAACTATATTCCCATGCCAAATCAGTACATGTTTCTTTTGTTGCTTTACATACAGGATTGCATATACTGTTTTTTAATTTTAAAAAAACTTTTCAGAAGTGAGGGAGTCGAGACTATTGCCTCTGGGCACCTTTACAAGCTACTCATGCACCAATATCTGCAACTAGCCAGTCTTAAACACACCAGCGATGTGGATTGGAGTATTTATTGAGCATCCATTGCTACAGGAAATAAAAACGTCCCACCACCTGCCTTCTCCGGTGCACATTTGTATGGAGGTGACAAGTATCAGGAGGCATGTGGGTAAGGGCCTCACTGCCCCTTCTCCCTTTGTGCTTCTGCTGATGCTCCCATGGACAGAGATCTGAGGGCCGAAGAGCTGAGCAGTTCCGGAGAATAATAGGCGCTTGGTATCTCATTTTCCACCCAGTGGCCCGGTCTCTAAGGAACCAGGAGACTTCCACAGAAATCTTCTGCTTCTTAGGTGCTCTGTGAGGGGCGTGGCCTCTTCACTGTTCTCTTCCGAACTGGAACCCACAGGAGAGGCCTCATTTTCTCTGAGCATGCCATCCTCACAGGGCAGAGGCTTCCCCTGGCACTCTGGTCTGTCTGGTGATTTGAGGCTTTGGTTAAAGGATGCAGAGGCCATACATTCAGCTGCCATCTGGTCACAGGCACATAGCAGCTTCTCACACAGGCTCTGCCCCACACCTTAGCAAGAGCAGAGGAGCAGACATGAGACACCAGGTATGGGATGAGAAAGCCCCATGGCCACCTGGCCACCCCTCAACTGTTCCAGCCCTCATCTTGCAAACCCCCTCTAGTATCTGGTATACACTCTGCTTCTAATGGTCTAGCCTGTTCTTCCAGCTGGAAAGGGACCCTCCACCATGCTGCACCAGGTTAACCCATGCTTGTCTGTAACATGTAGCTTGGCATCCCCTCCTTGAGAACACTCCTGAGTCCACAGCTAATGTAGCATCTTTTCTTTGGGCTCCCACTGAGCCCACCCTCTGGCTTTGTCTCCCAGAGGTTACAAGTTGATCATTGTGTTTCCCCTGATCCTTCTTGCTCGGCAGAAAACCTTGGCGGCAGATCCTTCAAGTCTAAACACCTAATCCTCAGTGTTTGCCAATTTAGTGCCTGGGAAATATTTGTTGGCCCAACTTAGTATGTCTTCTTTCTCTGGACCAGCATTTTTCTACTTGTCAAATGGAAACTCTTGGCCACATTGCTCTGAAGTGATAGGATAAAATACAGGACAAACAGTTGAATTTGAATTTCAGATGTATCTGCAAGTATGTCCATTTAGGATATATGCATGTATAATTAGCCAATTCCTGATTTAGCTGAAATTCAACTTTACCTAGGCTTCCTGCATTTGTATTTGCAAACCGGCCTTTAATGCATAAATTGGAATCAGTGGAGGTCTATGACTCATGGCATAACTTGTTTTAAGGTACTTGGCCTAGGTAAGCTTTTAGCAAATAGTTATCTGCAGTTTTCAGTGAAACTAACAAGCTGGGTTTTTTTGTTTTGTTTTGTTTTGTTTTTTGTGGTCTCATTTTACAAGTGTTCATCAACCAGAATTTCTTGCCAGAGTACACCACATAGACCCTCCTTACCTTCCATGCTGGCCTTCACGTCAGCCCAGATGCATATTAGCTTCAGGAAATGAAAACAAGCAGGAATCTTGTCCCTACAGTGTAGGAATGACTCTACAAAATGGACATAATCTAGCCTAAAATTTTTACCTCATCTTTTGATCAAAAGTTATGTTGTAAACAAGGTCACTAAGCCATGTACTCCTGTGATGGGCACCTCATCTTAATCCCTCAGGACCCCACCTCGCCCTCCACCTAGGATAGTGAATGAATGTGGGTGTGATTAACATATCAAAGCACTGGAATCAGCGTGCTGTCCTCATTGAAAACTGAGAATAAATGCAAAATCTGATATTGTATGTGTGACATTCTAGACCTAGGGATCAAGGGACAAGATTATCTGTAAAATAAGGGTGATTCCTGTGGCTTCCCCAGTCAAGAAGGAGGAGACAAGGCCTTGCAGAGCACTTGGGAAGCTTCAGGGGCAGTGTTTCCTTTTGAGCTCCAGAGCAAGCCTGGGCATTGACTGCTGTAGAAAGGTGCTGACAGAGCCAGTCTAAAGATGCTTTGCAGGTCAAGGCTGATGCTCACAGAGGATGACACTATAGATTGTCCCTGCTTGGGATCTTTCTTAGCCTTGGGGAATCTTGGTTTCTGTTAAGTGGGGAAGTAGAGCTGAGGACTCAGCTAGCCCATCAGCCAGAGCTGTCTCTCTTCTTCATGAAATTCCTCAGGAGATCTCCTTTGAGATAGGGTCCACTTATTAGCAGAGGACAGAATACTTTGTGAAACCCACTGGACAGTGACGAGGAGGATCCATGTGTGAGGCAATGCTGTTTTACAACCCGGATCCCAACTCTACCACTTCCTTCTGCCCCTATGATTGTGGATACTAGTGGGAAAAATAATAGAGCTGTCTCTCAGGATTGCTTTGAGGATTAACTGTGCCTTTCAGAAGCTTAGAAACAGCACATAACCAGGGCTCAGTAAGTACAGGCCATCCAAATCATTAACTAGCTTTGACACAAGACAACTGACTGACTTGGGCTCTTGAACTTGAGCCCTCATCAGTGGAAGGGATGTAACGGCATGTCTCTTAAGTGAAGAAGAGCATGAAGTCATGTTATAGATGAAGGTGGGCCTGGGAGAGCACCCATAGCCGAGGATGCCGATGGGAAAGCACGAGAACTCTAAGCAGCCTCCAGCACTTACACTTGGGTTCATGGTCCACACATAGCACCGCTGACCGAGAATGCCTCCCGTGAACACAGCCCAGCCGTCTCACCTGCTCCAGGCAGCAATGATGGGACAAACAGCACCTAAGACCAAGGAAATCCTTAACTGCTCAGAGGTCCACACTGACCCTGGACCCTCCAGGAGGTCTGTTTCTCTCACACCCCTTGGTGTACTGAGAGAAGCTGGGGGCTCTTTTCCAGGACACATAGGCCAACTCCCGAACACCCCCAAAGGCTGTCCAGGCTATATACTGCACCAAAGCCTAAGTCGCACTGGATGTATCATCATTTCTAAATATTTTCTTTGATGTTTTTCTTATGACGTTGTTGATGGTAAACATGAGTGACTAAGCATATTGATTGTAGCAGCTTTCCAAAGAGAGGAACAAAGGGCTTGCAGGAAGGGGTGCTTTTTTCACTTTGCTCAAATGTTTTGTATGGGGGAGGGCAGTGACCCCACTCCGGCCAACCTTCTCCATAGTAGAATAGTTTCAGATTCACAGCATAGCCTTTAACCCTCAACCTGAAAATACAGGAGTCATCAAGATCTGCATCAAGCACAGGCCTAGCGTAGAGCAGGACCTCAGCAAACACATCCAAATGAGCCAGTGTCTTTGTGTGGTACCTGCCCAAGAGGCCTGACACAGCCTCACAATCTCCAGTGTCCTCCCTGGCCAGATAATATCCTCAGGACATTTGTGAAGGCTCCAGCCAAGAGGGAGTTACAATTATCCCCCAAGTTCTCCCTTTTCAACTCCCCGCTGTCCTTCAGTAATGTGTCCTCCTGGAGACCACAACCCAAGCAGGGGTGAGCTGGACTTGCAGCTTTCATACCTTTGTTCTCAACCACGTAGCAGCTTTACCAGAAGAACCTCCCCACCTCACACCCTCACATTACCCAGTAGCTGCCCCATTCAGCTGTCACTACAATGGAGCCACGCTGTCTTGTGTGTACACTGAGGGTTGAGGGGGTGTGGTAGAAAATGACTCTAACAGCTGGCTATCTGAAGTCAGTATCACCAGGCATGATAAGTGATCAATATATTCTTACACATCATAATACCCTGATGTACAGAACACATGATAGAGGGATTATGGCCTTGAAGAACATGACACCGGTTAGACAAACTGCCATTCAGGGTTTCTACCGATGGCTCTTGGGTCATGTGGTTTTCTGTCTACAGATGTCAGGAAACCATGCAGCTTACTTTTTCATATTTTGATGATATATCATCAATGATCAGGACGCACCTGCCAAACCACCTCACTTGTTTTCCAGGAGCTCAGAACCACTTGGGGACTGCCCTCCCCCCTCCATACCTGTCCAGGGTATCTCTTGGCTCGCCCCTTCCTTCTTTTCCACAGTAGCAACCATAAGATTCAAATTCCTCCGGGCAGCGGGACGTCAGACAGAAGAGCATCTCTCCAAGCTGCAGCATGGTCTGTGTGGTCTCCCCACTGCCTCGGTGCAGGAAAGCCAACCTGTCACAGGCTAGTTAAGAGCAGGGACTCAGGAGAGCCAGGGGAGGATCTTGGATCACCACTCTTCTGAGAGAAGAGTGGCTGGTCCTCTTGATTTCAGGGAATGGGCCTACGTCGCTCCTGACTTCTGAGGTTCTGCTAAATGCCTTACTAAATCTCCCTGAAGAATGGGAACTTGTCAGAACTGAATAAGCTCTGCAGGCCTCACTGTTGCTGAGTAGAGCCTAGCATCCAGGGAAGACTTGGCTGTCCTCTTAGGCTTTTGGGCTACATTGTGTTAGCACACCCAGCAGCCTTGCCTTCCAGGGCCCTGCCTTCCCTTACTCCGCATCTGTCTCTGCCTCTCTCTCCTCTTTCCTTCCTCCTTTGCCTGCAACTTTCAAATGCATTCTGTACATCTCTGTACTGAGTACCTTGGGAAGCTTGCCCAGATATTACCAAGGTCCTCCTCTATGTCCTATTGGCTGGTACTCCACCCAGGAACAGGTCTTTTGTGAAGGCCTCCGCATGAGGAGAGTCAGGGATAATTATTAGAACCCAAGTGCTTCAGTATGGGTGTTACCACAGTCCTGAGTGATAAGAGTACAGGGTCAGGGGACAGAAGACCCTAGCTCTTGTCCCAGGCTCAGCCCCGTAGCAGCTGAGGGGCAACATGCAAGCCATGTGCCCTTGGACCTCAAAGTGCTTATCTAATAAAGGTAGATGATTCTGCCTTCTAGCCACACCAACAGGAGGAGGTCACAATTGGTCAGGTAGCCTAAGGAGCCTTAACAGCTGCAAGATCCCAGGGGTCAGGGAGGCCAGTCACTCTCCCGAATGCCAGCTCTTGTCTACCTTTTCCAGTTGTCTTCTGAGGACCACTGTCAACAGATGACACCACCAACCCTAATGGTTTAACACCATCAGGGACTTGGGTTGCGCCCTTAGCTGCGACAACAAGCTCTGCAGATCCTGAAAACACACAACGTGATGACTCAGAGTTAAAAAGTAACTCAGGGAGACGTTTGCAGTGGACACATGATCAAGGCCAAACACAGACTGAGACTCTCAGAACATGATGAGGAGAGTGTCCCTCACACTGTGTCTGCAGACATGGAGGTAGATTACTGGAGACCCAGGAAGTCTATGTGAGAATCTCCAAGTTTCCAACCTTAATGCTGCAAGCAGCCTGGGCTCCTGTACGGCAGCTCATGAATGGGAACCATGGCAACCTTGCAGACCTGAAATTGCAACATGTTTACAATTGTACACCTGTCACACAAGGCCCATCCAGATGATCACAGCAAATGAAGAGGTAACAGGAATTATAGAGAAAGCAGGGTGTCCTGTGGCAAGCAAAGCTCCCCCTTAAACTCTTGATCTCCTTGTTCAAATGCCACCAAAACTTCTAATCATATTCAAAATTATGGCAAGGTCCTTCCTATAGCCTGCCAGGCTACCTGATTATGTTCTTTGATCGTTACGTCCACTTCCAGCCATTTATTCCATCCAATACATTTACCAGAAGTGGATGCACCTACAGAAAGCACATCTCTACTTCTCACAGTAACGGAATGCTACTATGCACAAATAAGTTATGCTTCCATAGAAGGCCGTTATACCATCACCACAACTCATATAACAGAAAAATATCCAACCTCAGGGGCACAGCATCATGTGGTATTCATGACAAAACTCAGACCGCAAAGTGTGGCCATCAGGGATCTCAAATTCAGTTTGTTTATATTCATAGATACACATGGGGAAAGGGACTAGACAATATCTTAACTATTAAAAGTATCTGTTTTACATTGTGGATTTACAAGTGATTTTAGTGGGAACCTAAATGTAGATTTTAAAATACATTCTTTACTAAATAGTGTACCATCTCTTCCTGGTAATGGATCTTTTGATTTCATGGGTGTGCTTTTTTTTTTTTATTGTTTTGAATGCTTTTTTAATTAGAAGATTTTTATTGCACTTTTAAAATTTCATATAATATTTCCCACTCATATCCAGACCCTGTCTCCCATCCATGCCCCCCGACCCTGCTTTTTATAGAGGAATGTAGAAATACATTGTTGCTCAATGCTTTCTTCCAATTTGGTTTTTTGTTTGTTTTGTTTTGTTTTGTTTCGTTTGTCTTTATTGAGACAGGGTCTCCCTGTAGCCCCCTCTGTCCTGGAACTCACTATGTAGACCAGGCTGGCCTCGAACTCACAAAGATCCACCTGCCTCTGCCTCCAAGTGCTGGGATTAAAGGCGTGTTGCCACCCTTGGCCCTGAGGTTAATTTGGAATGTACTGATTTCACAAATATATTGGGGCCGATGTCATTTGTGAAGGCAGAAGCCAGATGTGCTTACCTGGAAGGGGTGTGGTCCTAGCAGCTTGGAGATCTTGGCCAGGTCCTGCTCCCAAGAGAAGAGAGACAAAGTGAACATCATCCTCAGCCTGTCACGTCTTGGTATCCAGAGGCACAACACAGGACCCTGGTTGCCCACCTCCAACTCTGAGATTTCTTAACAACGGATGATGTCAGGGTCTTTGTGGGACCGAAGGAACCCCCAGACATGCTGGCTGGCAAATACAGTGGCAGCTTGCCAGGTCAGAAGCAGAGGGATTTGTGGGCACACTGAGACAGTGGTGTCTTTGGAAAGGAGACAAAAGAAATGTAAAGAAAAACAACATGTTTGAACAAAGCAGCACACAGTCCAGAGGGAATGGAACTTCGCGCTGCTGTTGGCTTTAAGAAAGCAGGCCATGGATCTCTGTGAGGTGAGTCCTTGATAATGTGAGACTCCTAGCACATACTATGTGATGTGACAGTAAGGACTTTGCTGTTGTGACTCACTTAATTGCAATCCACAAGTCAACGTCTCCTGCTCACCCTCCCTCAGAGATGAGAAAAACATTCAGGAGAGTCAGGACACAACTTCAAAGTTAGGCAGGAGAAGGATGCACAGCCACGCTGAGATAGAGACTCAAGTGGTACCTTGAGCTCCCATTTCGATTCCACTGTACCATAAAGAACAAGAGATGATGACTAGACCATTCAGTGGAAAGGGAGGAGCTGCCTTTAGCTCCACCCACTCACAGATCAAGACAGTGGTGGTGCATAAGACCCAGGTTTTGATGTCAACTGACATGAACACAATTGCCACATCAAAGAAAGTTCTGGGTCATTCTCTGCTGGAACAGACTATTCTTTTCAAAAGCAAATTTACCAACTTAGACCCAAGGAGTTTTGAACTGACTATCTTAGTGAGTGACATCACCCTCAAAGTGGGTAATAACAGCCCTCCTGGGACTTGGGAAGACCCAGAATGTATAAGGTGATTAGGAACATGCAGGTACATTAGAGAATCTCAGTGAGGGTACTGCCATTTACCAGAGTCCAGTTACTTATTCATTCTGAGAAAATGCCAAAGAATCACTATCAGTTAATTATTATTATTTTTTTTTTAGGTCTTTTTGAGACCAGGTCTCCCTGTAGCCCCAGCTGTCCTGGAACTCACTATGTAGACCAGGCTGGCCTTGAACTCACAGAGATCCGCCTGCCTCTGCCTCCCGAGTGCTGGGATTAAAGGTGTGTGCCACCATGCCTGGCTAATTCATTACTTTTTGACAAAGAAATGATTACTAATTACCATAAGAAAAGTCTATGTTAGGTTAGGTCTGCCAATGAAATTTGGCCTAGATATTTTTATGTGTGATATCCACTGTTGTATAAGGAAAAGAAAATGGTCTTATTGCCTGAATTCAGAGCTCAAAGATCTGGTCACCAAGCTGCTGTTGAGTGACACAGAACTTGGATGCTCTCTGAACCTCAGTGTTTCTCATTATTACTTAAAATGGGCACAATATTTCCTCTGGGCCCTATGTCACTGAAACAGAGCCTATAGATTTGGGTGACGTCTCCACTGGACCCCCCCCCCCCATGTTCCTTCTGCTTACTTGTCCTGGAGAGTGTGGTCAGTATGTCAGCTCCGGTCTCACCAGTCACTGTGGAAAGAAGCCACTGTCTTTATTACAGATCAAGATGGACACAGAGCCAAGCAGAGGCCATCAGCAGGGAAACAGGACTGGGATAAAGGCTGAGGGGAGAGGGCTACAGCCCCATGATGGTGGTTTATATCTGTACCTCCATGTCCAAGGAGATCTTAGGGCAGTAGATAAGAGCAGACCACAAACAGGCTTGTGTTGAGGCGCAAAGACACAAAGACTAATGAATAGCATTTTGGGGAGTGAAAGACTGTGGTTACCCCAGGTTGGGCAGACCCTGTGGGAAGGCAGCTGTAAAAGGAATTGGTGGAGAATTGAGGATGAAGAATTAGGCTTATCCAAACCCAGCTCTGTCCATCTGCCCTGTCTTGGACAGTTCATCACTGCATCTCAGCTTAGCATCTTAAAATGCAGATAACATTTTTTTTTTTTTTTTGGTCTTTTTGAGAAAGGGTCTCCCTGTAGCCCCAGCTGTCCTGGAACTCACTATGTAGACCAGGCTGGCCTTGAACTCACAGAGATCCACCTGCCTCTGCCTCCCAAGTGCTGGGATTAAAGGCATGCACCACCACACCCGGCCTACATTTTAAGCACTATTTCGTAGGGTTGGGTGAGCATTCATTGAGAATCTGTATTTTATGCAGCGCACCAACTGCTCTGCATAATTTATAGTAAGGGCTGTGTTTTTTTTAGCTACACGGGAGTTCATGCCTAGAAAAAGCTAGTCTAGAACACCTGTGTGCTCTGAGCATGCTAAAAGACGGATGCAGTCATGCCTTCTCAGGGGCTAGGGAACTGTGATCAACTCTCAGCCTAAATAGTTTCTCTGGAGCACAGCAGCGGCCATTTTCACTTACCTATCACCTGCACATACCTCCCCCCCAACACACACACACACACACACACACACACACACACACACACACATATGAACAGAGTTGGGCATCCTGACAGACCTCCTGGCCTACAAAACCCAAATACTTCCTAACTCTAGCCCTTCACAGAGGAAATTTGCCAATTGCTGATTTATACAAGTGATGAACCAGAAGCACAGAGAGGTTAAAACAGTCTTCTTAAGTCACATAGCTAAAAAGTACAAAATCCAGGACCTAGTCCCTAATTTCCTTGACCCCCAAACATGACTGTGGCCATTCCATGGAGGAAGAACAGTGGTAAGCCCTGTTTCTTTTTCTCACAAAGCCTCCCATCTGCATAGTGAGATTCATTTTTAACCCTGCCTTCAGGCAGACTCTGTGCCTAGGTCAGAGGTGAGGCAGCATGCGCTCTGGGGTGTCACCTTTCTGTAGCTACATTAGTTAATAATTCATTTCATTTCATTTCATTCTTCCATTTATTTCTGGGACAGGGCTGTACTAAGTAGCCCTGACTAATCTGGAATTTGTGACATAGAACAGGCTAGCCTTGAGCTCGCAAAGATCTGTTTGCCTCTGCTTCCCAAGTGCTAGGATTAAAGGTGTGCCCCACCCCCCGACCAGGCTTGCCCAGCTGCACTTTAGAACCCTTCAAGGAGCTGGGTTTCCTTTGCATCTTTCCCAGAGATAAATCCTGAGCGTTTCCCACAGTCAAGGTGAGAAAGTATCCATTTAGGAGTTATTTTGTGACTGATGGATCTTGAGGCTCAGAGCAGAGCCTCAAGTTTGGGACTGAGGATTTGCCTCAAAGAAAGGGAAGCTGCCACTGTTGACCATGGTGGGCATGACCACCGACATGGGCAGGGAATGCCATGAAGCTTTGCCTGGGTGTGGGTGACATTTCCTTTCTTCTCAAAACTTAGACTCTAAGGCAAGACTGAAAGCTGTTGGGGAGGAGACACCTGGGGGATGGTGAGAAGTGAGCAGCCTGTGGTCCCTGCTGCCATCTCCATGGAGCCAGCGGGAACGGGGATAGAGAAGAGAACTAAAAGGTTCTAGAGGGGTTCTGCAGAGTGCTTGCACTGGGGGCTAAGCATGTAACTTAGCATCCCTGCTGAATCTGGATTTCAGCTATATTCAGATTCTAATCCTTGGAGCAGACACTGGAATGCATGTGCTGTGCATCTGGGTGGACCCTCAGCAGTTCACCTGTGATCCTCCAGGGATGAAGACAAGAGAGAGGGGTGAGAAAAAGCTGAGGGAGTGGAGGAGGGAAGATCCAGAGCTCTGGAATTCATTCAGGTCCATAACAAAGCAGGCAGGTGACATTTGGAGAGAGCTGATGTCATCAAGCCTGTAGGGTAGGGCATGACACAATTGAGACAAGGGTGTTTGGGCCTCCTCTGCTCACCTTCTCCTGAGAGGGCTGTCGGGCTGGTGTCCATGGACTTTGCAGGAACCCCTGTGAAAAAAAAAGAGTCCCGACAACAACGGTGCAATACAGTGTCAAAATAAAAGGCTTCAAGTTGAGCAGGCTGAGGGAGGAAGGGACTGAGAAGGTGTCCCTGGGGAATTGTCATCTTGAGTATTCCCTGGCTCTCTTATAGCAAGGACTTGGGCTGCCCAGGACCACGGTACTCAGGAAGAGCCGCAGCCACATCTGGGTTCTGGTGGAAGAAGAGGGGACTCAGGAAGAAGGGCAATGAAGGGGCTGAGGTCCCTAAAAGCGTCCTGAGTAGAGAGGACCCTTGCACAGGGGACAAGCAGGCAGCAGAGAAGCACCAAGAGCACAGGACTTGGAAGATGCACATCGATACATGTACGCACACCCCCATGGACACCCTTGTACTCATACAAGTGCACCCTGCACCCATGTATACACCCACACACATACCTATGCACACACCATACATGACTAACACACACACACACATATATACATACTTACATGCATACTCATGTACTATCTTCATACCTACACATACATATGTCCTGCACACACTCATGAGCATACACACACACGCACACACATACACACACACACACACACACACACACACACACACACACTCCAGCATACTTTAACAAACATCACACAGTTAGTTCAAGGAGCAAGTCCTGAGCCTGAGAGGAGGGATGAGAGGCCAAAGCGCACATGGGACTTCCCATCCTCAGGTGTGCAAAGATACCGGGAGAGCACAGAAACTTTGTTGAACAAGGAAAGGCAGGCACAAACAATTCTTATTTTTTCCCAAGACTCACATTTTAGAGTAAGAATTGTTCAGCTGACAGTTACCAAGAGTCCCGAAAAGACTTACAGGATAAACAACCTCCTTTACTAAAGCACCATCTGAGTGGGGCTGCCCCTTCATAGAGGCCAGGAGGAAATGGGAGGGGAGAAGAAGCAGGGGTCAGCTCCAGGGAGGCCTCAGTGTCCAGGAACTCATTCAGTGGGCTTTGCCTGAACTCCTGCCCGAGTCTATACCAGGGCTTTGACTACAGATGAAGGAGAAGGAACCTGGGATCTACACCCTCACTGGATTAAGTTCACATCCATCCATTAGCAAGAGCAGAGTTGACACTAGGGCATTTGGATATTGGATGTTTGCGCTGGGCTTGTGGAAAATCAGGTCTCCTAGCCAGGAGAGGCAGGATCACTGTCATGGGCGGCTTCAGCCACTGTGAGACAGGCCAGTCGGGGAGGTGCACATTCCAGTTGTGGTCACCATGAGCACCCTGTGTCCCTGGAACCAGCTCTTCTGGGATTTTACCTCCAAACAGCAGTGTCACCAACTCTTTCTTGCTAGTTGGCTCTGCAAAGAAACACATGGGAAGGTGCACTGAGCAGTGGGCTGGGTGTTTACAGGGCTGTGCTTGGTATCTGAAGACACCAGCTGCAGTTGGTCCCCCCCAGCTCCTGCCCACTGCTCGGCACCACTGCAGGTTCAGGGCCCGATTCTCCCACCTGGAGTCTGAGTCAGGCAGAAAGAAGCATCTAGAAGGTTCAGGGAAGAGTTGATGCCAGACTGAGTCAAGCATTCAACAGCCACCTTGTCACAGGTACACAGTAGGCGCTCACAGGGATCCTCAGACTCTGTGTATACAGCAAGGGCAGAGAAGGGTAAAAAGATCAAACTTGGAATTCCAACAGGTAATGCAGGTTCCAAAATGGGACTTCTGATGTGCCTTGCCCCAACTCACTTCCCCTGAACCTTTCTAACTCATGTCAACGCTACCTCTTCAGTTGGATGGACCCAGCCTTGGGGGTCTCACACACTTTCTGTGTTCCACACTCACATTCAAACCTCCAGGCAATTCTGTTGGCTCTTCCTGCAACCACTTTTGGGATGCCCACACCTCTACGTATCACTCCATAACACTGGACAGAGAACCTCTGTCTTCTGCCCAGTTGTGCCCCCAGACTAGTCTTCCTAGTCCTCCCAGATGTTTTCTGTACATTGTCATCAGGGAGTCAGAATAGGTCAAGGTCTGGGGTGGGGAGAAGCTCAGTGGCAGAGAGCGGCTCTAGCATGTGCAAAGCCCCAAGTTTCACACTTAGCAATACAAGAAATAAAAATAAAACTCCTCAAATAAAAGGTTCTGTTTGTTCAGAACCCCCTCAATGACTTCCTAGAGTAGCCTAGGAAGTATCATGTGATTGACCCTTTCCATTACCCCCCTTGCTTCTTCGATTCCCTTACTGCTGTCTCCCTGTCCCGTACTGGGTACCTTAAGCCTCAGGCCTATCACATGTTTTTCTGCTTGGTCAGGCTTTTCCCAGACAAACTGGGACTGTTTCCCACCTCTTCTTTCTACCTTTTTCTGAATTTGGTTTTCTCCTGTCACCATCTAAGAAGATAATTGCAATGTCTGACTACTATGGTTTGAAGTGGAATGTCCCCACAGGCTCATGTGTTTGAACACTTGGTCTCTAGCTGATGGCACAGTTTTGGTAGGTTGTGGAACGTTTAAGAGATGGAATCCAGTTGGAGGAAGCTGATCACTGGTAGGAGGGCACTGAGGGTTTCTTGTATACCATTGTCCTCTAGACATTACATGGATATTGCCATCTTGAAATTAAAGCATCTGTGATTACCCACACAAGACATTCACAAGACTGCGCCCATTAGCATTCCCCATGGAGAAGAGGGAGTGCTCATAGGCTGTGTACCAGGGTTCAAGAGGCATCACTGGAGACCATACAAGAGGTGCCTCAGAAGGTTATCTGTTGCAAGAGGCCCTGCCCCTCCCTCCAAGGATATACAAGCAGTTAAGAATTGCTGGGAATGAGACTCTTCTTCAGTGATGGTACCTCTAAGTTTCACACACTCCTTTAAGTAACCCCAATTACTGGTTTGCTTGGGTGGAATCATTCATTTGGTCTGTTGTTAGTGCCCTATCTGGGATGAACAGATGTTCATTTCCCCAGAAAAAAATGAATGGAACAAGATTACAACCTGGCCCCACTCTAGTCTAAGCCTTAGTCTCCTGCTGCCGCCACCACCATGCTTTCCCCACGATGGACTTATACCCCAGACCAGGAGCCAACACAAATCTCCATTAAGCTGCTTCTGTCCAGTGTTCTGTCACAGGGTCAAGAATAGTAACTAATGCACTGGTCACCCTGAGAACAGTCCAGAAGGTCAGCAATCCCCGATGTGGAGACAACTGTCCCCAATGGGGAGATACTCCCTGTGCATTTGCTGTGTGCATGAACGAATGCCCTGTTCCAAGCCCACTGGTTTCTCCTCTAGTGCATGAATGAATGCCCTGTCCCATGCGTACTGGTTCCTCCTCTGGTGGCTCACCCAGTGTCTCCTTCATCTGTTGCTGATGCTCCAGGTTCCACTAGGCTTGTTACTTGGTCTTGGGAATCAGTGGGATCTAGGGTCCAAGCCTGGATCTGCAACTGAGCTGATATTGGACTTGGGCCAGTTTGCTTAATTCCCCTGAGTTTCTGTTTCTTTTATAACACTGTAAACAATGGATCCCATCTAATAGGGTTGTTAGGAAGGAAGGCCCCGGCTGCTGTACATTAAGACCAAGGTACACGGGGCACAGATGTAGGGGTCTGGCTCCCCAGCACACTTACTCCCTCATTCCTCCACGTCCTTGCTTATTTGACTTCTTCTGCCAGGATGCCAAGACATGTGAAATAATATTCTTGGTGTCACACAGCGAACAAGGCAAAAAACTGAGACATAAGCTTATGCACCTGACTCTTACCAGCCACCGCCACCACAGCCTGATCACTCATCTCTGCTTCTGTCTCCGCATACATCAAGTTCTTACCATATGCCAGTCATTGCACTAACCATTTCACAATCAGGCCTCACTGAATTTCTATAACATCTCTTTGAGGGAGGGTTTCCCCTTCCTCTTTTATGGTTCAGAGACATTAAGGCACTACTCTGCTGTTTCACAATGCATAAATAGCAACTTATTGGTCACTTACAATCTTCCACAGTTGTCATAGTATAAATAAATGATAAATCCAGTCATCTTCCAATGAGCCATCATTCCAATTATAAAAGCATTTACTGCATATCAGCTGTGTGGAAGACACCAATGCATTGAGCAATCCTCTTGAATCTAAGTGTCAACAATGCTGATGGTACTGACTGGAAAGGTGGATTCCAGGAGCCCCCATCAGGTCAGAGTTGTCATTCCCTGCCCCAGCTGGAGGAGACCTGAAGATGCTCACCACATGTGATCTGCTTGTTGATGCAGTCCACATCTGCACTGAGCTTGGCGGGGTCCTGGAGACAGTCCATCTCAGCAGCCTCCTCATAGCACCTGCGGTGTTGGAAGCAGCAGCTGGGGCAGGCAGGGCAGGGGTAAGAAAGAACAGGGTTAGCCTACAGACCGGCAGATGGCTTAGGATCATTCTGCTGTCTGGATGGCATCTGGCAGTGGTCTGTTCCAACACTCAGCAGGTGCACACAGGAGCATGTGCACTCCCCCACACAATTGCCACCTGCCATTTTACAAGCTTCAGATGGCATGCCCAGCACGCAGGTTTCTGTGACCAGTCACATTGTGAGGGGGAAAAACTATGATGGGAACCACTGCTTTCAAACCAGGCACCCAGGGATAAAGTGGAAACTCACAGCCTTTATTCCTGGTCCTGCTGGCAGCAGGCCCAGGGGCGTGATCTCCAAAGCCTGAGCCCAGGTAGTAAGTTCTTTACAATATTCGTAGGTAATTCAACATCATCCCAGACTCAGTCTGGCATTGGTGGGCACCAGAGGTCGTAGGGCCTTCAGCATACATGACTATGGACCACATATGGGGTCTACATGACCTGGGACTATGCACAGGGGTCTATACCCTAAAGGTCAAAAGGCAAGGGCATGAATTAGAATTCCAAGAAGGAAGTTTACAAAGCTAAAGTAAAGGTTAACCGTATATTGGTTTTCTCAAGCCAGCTGGAGGGCTGATTCTTAGCTGTTTTCTTAGGAAGCAGGGGTGGATAAGCCGGGATTGTTTTCTTAGGCTAACTGCTCTGTTTTTTTTTGTTTTGTTTTGTTTTTGTTTGTTTGTTTGTTTAGGGTTTTTTTTCTCCTTAATTTTGGTTTTCTTTTTCATCGTGGCCCTGGATCTCAGCTGGAGACCCAGTGTGACGGCTGCTCAGCAAAGGTGAAGGTGGACAAGCATCAGTCCTTGGGTGCTCCTTTGGATTTTCCCAGCCCTCCCTGTCATAGCCCACATCCACTTGATCACTGTCATAAGAAGCAGCTGTCCCTCTCCACCTCTGACTTTCTGCTTGGTCTCGTACAGGAGCCAACATCACTACAGCATCCCCCTGTGCTAGGGGTGGAAGAGACAAATCTATTACTTGCTTAGAGCGACTAGTGATGACAAAGCCAAGGCCATTTTGTGGCATAGTTTAGGGCCTCTGAATAAAGCGGTTGGCACTTGAAGTCAGCCATGGTGGTACACACCTATAATTCCTGTACTTGAGAGAGACTGAAGCAGGAAGATCACATGTTTGAGGCCAGCCTGGGCTACATAAGAAACCCTGTTTCAAGAAGAATGAAAGAAGAGGAAGAGAAAGAAGAGGAGAAAGAGAAGAAAGACAAGGAGGAAGGAGAAACAGGAGGAAGAATAGGAAGGGTGTGGAGGAAATTACCCTGAGTGATCAGGGCAAAGTGACAGACCCCAGCAGCTATGAAGAAAATGGAAAGAGGCAAACTGTCCACCAGTGTCCCCATTTGTATGGAGATCCTTGCATGAAATTCAAAGAGAGTTTACAGGACAGGTGGTTTCTATGTTTAAAAACCCTCTCTCCTCTTGCATCCACGAGAGATGTTTGAGACTGCTACTTATGGCACACAAGTAGAGGGGAAAAGCCAGTCTCGTGTCCTGCGGGTGACTCAAATGTTTAGCAGCGAGGTCAGAACAGTTTCTACAAGGAGCAGCTTGGATTACCTGAGAAAATCTTAAAAGGAACACAGAAGAGCATTTTAGTGTGAATGTGTAGCTTGTTCCATCATGTGTAGACAGGAACTTCAGGACCCAGAAGGGGAAGTGACTGCTATGGGTTTATACAGTGTATTAGTGGTAGAGTCAGGAGACTGGTGTGACAGAGTGCCTGGTACACCTTAGGCCCCCAGTAAGTGTAGACACAGGACACAGTTGGTGTGCATAAAGGAGGTAGGGGCTCTCAAATACAGAATAAAATCTGACCTACTCAGGCAGGAATCAGGGAAGTCTATGCTCTCTGCCAAGCTTTTGGTGTAAATGGAGAACTCAGGCTTCAGGAGAGTGTGGATTCATTGAGAGTTCACCAATGTCTGAAGAATGCCAGGGAAGTCTATGCTCTCTGCCAAGCTTTGGGTGTAAATGGAGAACTCGGGCTTCAGGAGAGTGTGGATTCATTGAGAGTTCACCAATGTCTGAAGAATGTCAGCAGGGAAGGTGAGGGACAGCCACTCAGTTGTGAGTGGCTTGCAGACTCCATGGCCCTTCTCCCATCCAGGGTATGGAGTGAGGAATAAAGAGACCCCAGATGTGCCACCAGCCCTGCTGTTCATGCTCCAGGTACAGGGAGGTGCTGGGTGGGGGCTTTGCAACTGGACCAGCTCCATGGAGCACCAGGGAGTTGTCTTGGCAAGTTATTTACCTCTTCTGAAATAACCTTGTTAACATGAGAGAGCCCAAGGCTCAGGCAGGACCCCAGTTCTGGGCCTGGAGAAAAGTGAACATGGTACCTAGGAAGCCATCATGGGAGCTGCAGGGCAAGGCAGGACCTGAAACTGGGCTGGCAAGGGAGCTTGACACCAATACCTCTCCTCACTCTCAGCAAAAGTAAGGAAAACAGTTATTACCGCTTTTGTTACAGGGGTGTGGTAGTTAGTTTTAATTGTCCACTTGGTACAATCTAGAAGCACATGAGAATAGTCGTAATGAGGAATTTTCTAGATCAGGTTGGCCTGCGGGCATGCCCGTAAAGGACTCTCTTGATGGCTTAACTGACATGAG